GTCAACCTCCTGAATTGCTGGAGGAGTTAAAAAAGGCTTCGGGAGGGGATGACTGGCTTAGAGAACATCAAGGAGATCTGACACAGCATGAGGGACTTTGGACATATGGGGCTAAATATTATGTACCTGCTTCCATGCGAAAAGAAATAATGAGGATTGGCCATGACTCTAAGTTGGCTGGACACTTTGGCTTCACCAAAACCCTCAAACTGTTGGCCCGCCAATTCTGGTGGCCCTCCATGCCCAAAGATGTGAGGGAGTATTTACAAGAATGCTCCACCTGTGCCAGACACAAGCAAAAGGTGGGCAAACCCTCGGGGTTGTTGCAATTGGTAGCAAACCCTATGCAACCGTGGACTGATATAGCCATGGATTTTGTGGTTGAGTTGCCTGACAGCCAGGGATACAATACCATTTGGATTATAATTGACCTGTTCTCCAAACAGGCACATTTTATACCCCTTAAGAGACTCCTCTCAGCACCAGAACTAGCGAAACTGTTCATACACCATGTGTTCAGGCTACACGGGTGCCCTCGGAGGATAATAACAGACCGAGGCACTCAATTCACATCTAAGTTTTGGAAATCTTTTCTGGACATGTTGGGAACAGAATGGGCGCTGAGCACGGCTTTTCACCCAGAGACTGATGGGGCCACTGAGAGGGTTCAAAAGACCCTACAACAGTTCTTGAGATGTTACTCTACGTATCAGCAAGATCAATGGGCTCCCCTCCTAGACATAGCCGAATATTGCTATAATAACGGTGACCACGCATCCACCGGGGCTTCCCCTTTCAAGGTAGTGGGGGGTAAAGACTGTCCTCCCTTCCCCACCAGAGCCGGGTGATGTTTCCCCAAACGAGTGGGGGAAAAAGATTGCAGCCTCCTGGCCTAAAATTAAAGAAGCTCTGGATTTGGCTAAAAGGGACTACAAAAAGTTTGCAGACAGAAAACGTGCAGTGCAGCCTGTCCTAAAAGAGGGAGACATGGTTTATTTGTCCACCAAGTACCTGAAGTCAACACAGACGTCCCGGAAGTTGGCGGCCCGGTTCGTGGGACCGTTTCCGGTCCGGAAGGTGGTGAACCCAGTAGCGGTACGACTGGACTTGCCGCACACGTCGAAAGGTGCACCCAGTGTTTCACGTCAGCTTGTTGAAACCGGCGTGTCCCTCCCACAAGTGGTCGGAACCCGACTCTCAGCCAGTTCCCATCATGGTGGGGGCCCACACCCACTTTAAGATTAAAGACATTTGGACTCCAAAAGGACTCGGGGCAGACTTTATTATTTGGTTCAGTGGTCCTTCTGAACTCTACACCCTGAATGGGTGTTGGGAGAACATGTTAAGGTGCCCCGGTTGCTCAAAAAGTTCCATGCTTCTTTCCCAAATAAGCCAGCCCCATGATGTCGTTTCCCACGTTTCTCTCTTTTCTTTCCTGCAGGGGCCTGCGAAGGTCTTCCGAGGGGGAGGAGTTATGTCAGGATGCGGCCTTTGAGTTAAGAAAACACAGCCAGAGCCTCCTCCTTGCCTCGAAGACTCCTTCCTGACATCGGTGTGAATTATGGGTTGATAGGGGGAGCCATCTGGCAGAAGAGAATGCTTTGTTGATGTGGGAATGGAATGTAGCCACAACTTGTGATAAGGGGGGAAGAAGGGGGGAGGAACCAAGGGGGATGTATTGCTGGGCATTGGCGGGAAACCCTCAGATCTCTCTTTCTAAGTATCCTGTATAGACTGAATAAACCCGTGTTCAAGAAATTGCCCTTGTGAGCGTGGTTTTGTTCTAAGACCTGGCAGGAGCTGACACCGGCAGGGCAATCACATGGAGGGAAGTGAGCTGTACCTCTGTCGCCCAAGCAACATGGGAGACTTCCCGTGTTGCCAGCTCCATGGAGGGAAGCCTTGTGCATGACGCACACACCTCACTTCCTTCCATGTGATTGCCCTGTTGGCCAGCGAAGCAACCCTTGATGAAGTGAGGTGAGATGATTGCCTCTATGCCTCGTCATTAAGAAGAATGCCACCGGCCACTGACCACTGGCCATGTGACAAGGTCCATGATCTAAAATACATATAAAAACAATTCTTCACATTAAAAACAACATCCAACTCAATCCTAAATGTCATGGCCAAATAACTCTTAGTCTATATCGAATCATCCGCTAATTTGCAAATAACTGACTCCACAGTTATTTTAGCTGCATCCTGAATGACAGGAGAGAGGGAGCAGATCTAATCTCGCCGGGGAAAGAGTTCCATAGCCGGGGGGGGGGGCACCACAGAGAAGGCTCTGTCTCTCATCCCCACAAAACGCGCCTGCGAAGGTGGTGGGACCGAGAGCAGGGCCTCTCCGGAAGATCTTAAAATCCTTGATAGTTTGTAGGGAAATATATGTTCAGACAGGTAAACCGAACAAACCACTGGTTGATGTAGGACAGAGGTGGGCATGACCTGCTTCACAGCTGCATTAATCTCTACACCTTTGTAGCTCCTTCAGTGCCCTTTACAGCCCATTCAAAAGTGTGAGTTTGGGAAAATGTTTGTCTCCAAAATCAAGCCCCTCTAATGTATAAAGATAGATGAAAATCTATCGTTATACATTACAAGAATCTCAAACCTTGTATTATACCCAATACTTGTTTTCCTCTTCAAACCATCTCAAAATGGTGAGAGACATGATATCATATCATGCCAGCATTTTTGAAGAGGAAAACAGAAGCCTTTGAGTTGTTTGTAGGTTTTTTGGGTTTTATGGCCATGTTATTTATTTATTATTATTTATTTAGAGTTTTTATACGCCGGTCTTCTCACCTCCGGGAGGCACTCAGGCCAGCTAACAACATAAAATTCAACACAATAAGAAAAACATTATAGGTCATCAATATAAAATACATTAAAATACACTTCATACAATTCATACAAATTACAGCAAAAATCAGTTCGTCCAAAAGAATCACAAATTCATCGCCATCCGCCAGAAAGGTCAGTAGTTATTGACTCAGTCATCATTCTGCGAATGCAGTATCCCAAAGCCACGTTTTTACCTGCTTTCTAAACATCAGGAGGGAAGAGGCAGATCTAATCTCCATCGGGAGGGAGTTCTAAAGCCGAGGGGCCACCACCAAAAAGGTCCTGTCCCTCGTCCCCACCAAACACGATTGCGAAGGCGGTGGGACCGAGAGCAGGGCCCCTCCAGAAGATCTTAACAACCTTGATGGTTCATAGGGGAGAATCCGTTTGGACAGGTAAATAGGGCCAGAGCTGTTTAGGGATTTATAGGTCAACACCAGCACTTTGAATTGTGCTCGGAAGCTGACTGGCAGCCAGTGGAGCTGGCGCAACAGAGGAGTAGTATGCTCCCTGTACCCTGCTCCCGTTAGTAATCTGGCTGCTGCTCGTTGTACTAATTGTAGCTTCCCGGCAGTCTTCAGAGGCAACCCCACGTAGTGAGTGCTGCAGTAGTCTATATGGGATGTAACCAGAGCATGTACCACCGTGGCCAAGTCAGACTTCCCAAGGTACGGGCGCAGCTGGCGCACAAGTTTTAATTGTGCAAAAGCTCCCCTGACCACCGCCGAGACCTGGGGTTCCAGGCTCAGCGACGAGTCCAGGATCACTCCCAAGCTGCGAACCTGCGCCTTCAGGGGGAGTGTAACCCCGTCAAGCACAGGCTGTAACCCTATGCCCTGTTCAGCCTTTCGACTGACCAGGAGTACCTCTGTCTTGTCTGGATTTAGTTTCAATCTGTTGGCCCTCATCCAGTCCGTTACAGCGGCCAAGCACCAGTTCAGGACTTGAACAGCCTCCTTAGTAGCAGGTGGGAAGGAGTAACAGAATTGGACATCATCTGCGTAGAGATGACACCGCACCCCGAAACTCCGGATGATCTCTCCCAACGGCTTCATGTATATGTTGAACAAGATAGGGGACAGTACTGACCCCTGCGGGACCCCACAGAACAATGGCCATGGAGTCGAGCAGGAGTCCCCTAATGACACCTTCTGAGAGCGACCCTCGAGGAAGGACTGGAGTCACTGCAACGCAGTACCCCTGAGACCCATTCCCGCAAGGCGTCCCAGAAGGATACCGTGGTTGATGGTATCGAAGGCCGAAGAAAGGTCCAGCAGAACCAACAGGGACACACTCCCCCTGTCCAGTTCCCGGCGAAGATCATCCACTAAGGCGACCAAGGCTGTCTCGGTACCATGTCCCGGCCTAAAGCCAGACTGCACCAGATCCAAATAATCAGTGTCTACCTAGAACTCCTAGAGTTGCGAGGCCTCACACGTTCCAGGACTTTGCCCAAATAGGGGAGATTGGAAACTGGCCGATAGTTGACAAATTGAGTGGGGTCCAGTGATGGATCTAGAAGCATTCTCTTCTGACGTTACGCCTGCATCTATGGCAAGCATCCTCAGAGGTTGAGAGGTCTCACAACCTCTGAGGATGCCTACCATAGATGCAGGCAAAATGCCAGGAGAGAATGCTTCTAGAACATGGCCATATAGCCCGAAAAGCCTACAACAACCCAATGATTCCAGCCATGAAAGCCTTCAACAATACATAGAAGCCTTTGAGCTTGCTATGGGCGGATTGTGGTCTGTGGTGGCTGATCCCTATGCTATCAACCAGTATATGTAGTCCATTATAGTCATCTTCTCCATCCAAAGTGTAGATCTAACCTGGAACCTTCTGTATGCAAAAAGGGCACTCTTCTACTGAACCATAGCCTCTAGCATGAATCAGTTTAAATAGTGCTCTGACAGTCAAATGAATGAATGCTAATGAGACTGAAGTTAACATGAGGCTAGTTAGATACAAGCGGAGGACTCAATAACAGAGCTTTAGAAAACATTACTTGGCTGGATTTACAAATATGGTCAGTTGCATGCTAGCTGAGGAAAGAGAAGTCCTCCTTGCTCCTCTAAACACAGTTCTTAATTCTATAACTTGCTGCACATCTATCATCACCTGAGTCATTTCCATCCTGACAAACTCACCATCAAAGATCCCAAACTCGTCGTATTCCTTCTCGCTTAAGAAATACTCAACAGTGAAGGTAATGTTGTATCCCGACTCCAACTTGATTATCCATGAGCAAGTCTGGAAGTGGGGGTAATTCCCTGTGAAAGTAGGACTCAGGATGACGCCGGCAGAGGCTGTGAGGATTTCGTTCATCGGGCAGTGAACTGATAGACACACAAGAGAGAAAGATGTGAAGGTATCACTTTGTGCCAAGATCAGAGAGAAAAGGTGGACAAGGCACTAAATATGAGCTGTGACTGACTTTCTCCTTAATTGAAAGGCTGTGTCGATTTTAAAAAAAACGGAAGAGGTAAATGTAGTAGCATTGAGAAAAGTTGTTCAAAAAAACATTAATAGAATATGAAAATATACATTTATCTTGGTTTGGAATGATAGCATTAGTAAAAATGAAAATACTTCTGAAGATAAATTTCATATTTAGGATGCTGCCACTTCAAATTACAGAAGAAGAGCTAAATAGATGGCAACAAATGATAAATAAATATTGTAATGGTAGTAAAAGAAATAGATTAAATAAACAGTTATGGTACAGATTGCAAAAAGAGGGAGGATTAGCACCCTAACATTAAAAAAATTATGAAGCGAGCAGACTGAAATTGGTTATAGAAGGAAGGATAAAAAAGAGGGAGTAGATTGGCTAAGAGAGGATTTGGAAGAAGTGGAAGAAGAAATTTGGAATATATATTTTAAAGAGTTTACGAGAAAAGAAACTAGAAAAATTAGAAACCCAATGTTGAGCAATATATTTGAAGTATGGAACAAATATAGGAGAATGTTAATAACAGATGGTTCAGGAATAACCCCAATTGTAATGGAAAAGAAATTTCCAAAACATCTAAAAAAAGTAATGGATAAAAGGTAAAGGGAATTTTTTTTAGACAAAATAGGGGATTGGATAAAGGATGGAATGAAGAAGGAAATGATTATGGAAGAATTTAGAGAGATAAAATTGACATGGTTCCATTGTATACAATTAGAACAATGGTTTAAAAATTGGGAAAAAAACAAAAAAAATGGAAGTAAGCTTAACCAATTTGAACAAATAATACAAAATGGAAGGATTGTAGAGAAGCATGAAAATTTGAAAGGAATAACTAGTAAAATATATAAGATAATAATTGAAATAAAGAAAGGAAAAACAAAAAATAACATCCTCAAGGAGGTTTGGGAAGAAGATTTAGGGATAAAAATAAATGAAACAGAATGGCAACAATTATGGAGACAAAGACATCTAAAAAACGTATCAATACGGGTTAAAGAAAATTATTATAAGTTAATATGGAAATGGTACCTAACACCAGTAAGAATAGCAAATATAAATAAAAACTATTCAAAAAAATTGCTGGAGAGGATGTCAAGAATCAGGAACATATATACATATGTGGTGGCAATGTAAATATGTAAATAATTTTTGGGGGAAAGTATTTAGAGAAATAGAAGATATAATGAATATTAAAATAGAAAGAAGAAATAGAGGAGTGGTATAAAGAAGTATGGAAACTGGCAATAAATGATAAGTTGACATGTATATTAAAAGTTAAAAGAGGTATATGGAAACAAAACGATTTTGATGATGTATGGAGAAAATTTATCAAAAAAGAATTAAAAAATAAAGAAGGAAAGTTACCTCCACAAGAAGAATTGAAATTTTGGACAGATGGCTTGGGAGGGAGGAGGGGAGCACAGCGGTGAGGGATAGATAATATGTATAAGCAGAAAAATAACACTAGATGCCAAAAGTATGGTAGGTTGTACTGAATAATATGCATCTGCTGTAAAACAATGTATAACAAATGTATTCAACCATGATAAAATAATAAAAAATATTTATATAAAAAATTTGAAAGACTGTGTCTTCTAAAGATGAGCCTGTTTAAGGTCTAAGATACTTAGGAGATAACATTGGCCAACACATATTTTGGTGCCTTCAGTGTTAGATCTGTTTCTGTGTATATTTGATCAGCAGATTCCAAAAATTGCTCCTGTCCTTCACTATCAGCGCTAGTTTTTGAGATACTGGCCATATACCACTCTTCATCTGCTCGCCCTTGACTCCATTGGTCTTGAGTAGTTTCCCTTACTCTGCTCCAAAACTCACTTACCTTCACAGGTTGGGGGAGGACCCTCAAATTTGAGGTGGCTACCAAGTCTGCAGGTCAAAACCTCATTTCCAACCAAGGTGAAGCCAGGAAGACACCGATATCTAATAATATCACCTGGTATAGGGAGAAGAACACATATTTCAACAGCAGGAAAATGCCTACGCACCAACAACAGTCATGAAATTCCACAATATTTTGGCAAAACGATCTAGGGAAGTGACTACATTTAAATTCACCACAACCCCCATATCCATGAGATCAGTATCTGCAATTTCACCTACTCCAATCTAACAAAGTATGTTCTCTCTATGAATTTACTAGGTTCTCTGGGTGATTTTATGGAATGCTTCTGCCTGAAGGTGCCACAGAGTCTCATTGATGAACCCAGTAAATTCATAGAAAGAATATCTACCGTATCTAGGAATTTTTGGGATCTCTAACATGACTCTATTCTGGTGGAAGTAGTTCATTTCAATGGGATTCACTATTATCTACAGTTTTGTGTTTTCACATTAAGTCTGGAAATTAAGGCCGGGCGGTTTCGTTTCGTTAATTCGTAATTCGTTAAAAATTCATTATTTTTTTTGTTAACGAACCATTCTGGAGCAACTTAAAAACGAAACGAATTTTTCAATTCGTTTCGTAAATGCTTCATATTTCATCATGTATTCGTTTCGTTATTGGTTTGAGGTCGTTTCGTTATTATTTCCGCATGTCTGGGGCAAGTTTTATAGTTGTTTTTTGTTTAATTAGTGAAAAAAAATTATAATATCACACCAACAGTCAACAACAGAGGGAGAGGGAAGCTTCAGAAGTTTTTTTAGCGTATTGCGCGATCGCGGCCGCCATTAACGAATCGATTCGTTATTGTTTCGTTATTGTTTTGTAATTTTTTTACCATTTACGAAATTTTGTAAATATCGAACTTTTTTTAAGGAAAATTTCGGAATTCTTTTAAATATCGAAACGCAAAAAAACCCCAAAAACGAATCGATTTTAGAAACAAATTTTTCCATTGTTACCCAGGCCTACTGGAAATGTATCCTCCATAGATGCAGGGGTTGTGCTTCACAAAATAGAAGAACAATTCCAAGCAGGGACTTGCACTGAAACTCGAATTAAATTAGGAAATGATTTAACTCTTTTCCTTGTTCCACAATGTTCCAGGGCCATATTGGGAGTTCAATATGTATATAATTCTCATCACAGATGCCTTGCAGCAATATACTATTTATTTATTTATTTATTTATTTATTATTTAAACCTATATGCCGCCACTTCCCTGGGACTCGGAGTGGCTTACAAGAACAGGCTAAAATCTAACACAATTTAAAAACAATTTAAAACAATTTAAAAACAGCAATATCAAAGATCAAAGGCCTGTCGAAACAGATATGTCTTACATGCCCTGTGGAAAGCTGATAAGTCCCGCAAGGCACAGACTTCAGGTGGCAGAGTATTCCAGAGTGATGGTGCCACTGCTGTAAAGGCTCTGCGTCTGGTTGCTGTTAGACGCAAGGTCTTGACACGGGGAATTTCCAATAGATCTTGGTCCTCAGAATGGAGGGATCTATGGGGTTGGTAGGGGGTGAGGCGGTCCCTCAGGTACATCGGCCCCAGACCATGCAAGGCCTTAAAGGTGAGTACCATCACTTTGAAAGTGATCCGGTGCTCAATTGGTAACCAATGCAGCTGCAGTAAGATTGGTATTATGTGGCATCTCATCGGAATTCCCGCAAGAAGCCGAGCAGCTGCATTTTTTGGGGAAAGGGCAACAGAACACTAAAATCTCAATCGGCAAAAATGTCTGGTGGGTCAACTAAGCTTACACTTGGCCACCCGAAACTGCGTTCAATCCAAACCCCTTTCAGTGTAGAAGTTTTGGAAGTTCTCAGGAGCATCCGTGTCATGGATGTGTCTAATGCGTGGATGAGATCTGGAAGTGGTGCAGCTTGGCTCCTCCTCATTCCAAGTCTTTTAAATCTGATTTTGCCCATCAGATTGAACTTATTGGCAGATTTCTGCAAACAGTTGGAGATGTCTGATGACCCAACGTATTTCAACTGAGACATAGATATTTAGATGAACAGGCAGTCCCCAAGTTATGAACAAGATAGGTTCTGTAGGTTTGTTCTTAAGTTGAATTTGTCTGTAAGTCGGAACAGGTACATTTTTTATCCACCACATCAGAGGGGGTGATTTTAGGGGATTGGGGTTTATGCCGGACATAACACAACATTGTGTGACTTCTGGCACAGGCCACATCCCCAACTGGGATGAAAGCCTTGTCAGAGGCTTTCCTTGGCAACCAGGGAGGCTTCCTGTGTTGTGCTGGCTCCAATGGAGCCAGTATGAGGCCTCCTTGTCATGGCGATGCTTTCCCCATGTGATGGGAAAAGTGTTACCAAGAGGGAGCTGTGCACGGGGCAACAGGTTCACCGTGCTGTTCCATCTTTCCTCCCCAGAATATATAGATAGTACCCATCCCTGTCTCAGGCACGGTTGGTGGGGATGAGAGAGAGGGCCTTCTCGGTGGTGGCCCCCTAGCTCTGGAACTCCCTCCCCAGGGAAATTAACTAGCACCCACCCTGTCCATCTTCTGCAAAGATCTAAAGGTGTGGATATTCCACTGTGCTTTTGACTAGACCATTCACCAGATAGCTTGGTCCTAACTAGGACCCAAAATCTTGTCCTCGCACTTTACTATTGTTCTGTACCCAAAGTTAAAATGCTGTATTTTATACTGCCCTCTATCTCTTCTGCTGCCATATGACCTATGCACTTTATAAATCAGCCTTATTATTTCTGCCCACCAGTGCTCAGGAACCGATCATTATCTCAGAGCTCATTGGTTATTGGTTTGATGTTTTGCTTTTATACTTTGTTATAATGTTGTTGTTTTGTTCTGCTTTATGTTGTTATTTATATATTTTAATGTACTATATTTTAACCATGTTGATTAGGCTTGTCCCCATGTAAGCTGTCCCAAGTCCCTTCGGGGAGGTGGAGGAGGGGTACAAAAAGTAAAGTTGTTGTTGATGTTGTTGTTGTTGTTGTTGTTATTATTATTATTACTTTATTATTATTATTGATATATGGTTTGTATTGCATAGGAAAGGGTTAACACCCCTGTGGTGTTTATTTTGCATTTTGTGTCCCTATTCAGAAGATTTCACCTCACTTTCTGTCCCTGTGAGAATTCGATTTTGCAAAATTTGGCTTGTTGTGGAAACAAGGATTGGTGATAAAGCTTCAGTGCAGACAATTTTCCCCATGATAATTCTTCCAAGAGTGAATTTCGCTTCTGAGGGGTAGATTCCTCTCACATCCTGTTGTCTCATCCACGTTCTTAACTATGAGTAATTTGTAACTCGGAGAGTTCCTGTACTGACATGTATATGCCTTAATTCTAACCCAACTGTATCTTTCATTAGGATTGTACTGCTAGGAAGAAATGTATCTTTTACTGAGCGATTTTGCACTATCCTTCCCAGCTGATGCTCATCAATGAAGTCCCATCACTTCTGCTTCTCCTTCCCTTTCTCCTCTGCACATCATTCCTTATTGCTCCTCATCAGATGCCCATAGAGAATTTATAGCATTTCAGTGTGGTTTAGGCAGGCACCACAAACATGCCCAGAGGAGAATGTCGTTGACTTGGGCAGCAAGAAACTGCACTACTTTTGGGGTTCTGTGGATAACATGACAAAGAAGATGAGAAGGAGGGTATGCAGTCAATCAATACCTATATTATAATCTTCATTCTCGGTGATGATTTCAGCATTGGGAACCATTGTTGGGGGCTGGCATCGAGAAAGCTGGTAGGCTGGGAAAAGAGGGAGATGAACAAGTCACACTGGTTGTCAAATGGTTAAAATGTGGATTTCATGCCTCTTTGTGTTTAATCTTCTTGCTACCCCAGACAAAAAAGCACTTATGACTTGGACGTCATAATGGAATAAAGGTGGGTTATAAACTAAAAACCTAAGAATTAGGAGACTAGCCACACTTAGGATGTATGTTGTCTTTATTCCTAAGGTATTCTTCCAAGTGGAAAAAGAACCCTGTCAATATATGTGGCTGCCCTCATCTACATATCTTTGGTGATTGGTGACTGGAAAGGAAAAATATGCATAATTTGCAAACTTGATCGCTAATGCATATAAGTCTGTGAAATACCTATGGTGGGAGAAGAAATAGGTTAATTGTGGAAAATTATTTATTTCTGAAACATTTATCTTGACACACAGTGAATTTTCCTAGAGAGATGCCTCTCCAGGAACTTTCTGGGTCTTCCAGCAAGACTCTACAGCAGTGGTTCTCAACCTGGGTCCCCAGATGTTGTTGGCCTTCAACTCCCAGAAATCCTAACAGCTGGTAAACTGGCTGGGATTTCTGAGAGTTGTAGGCCAAAAACATCTGGGGACCCCAGGTTGAGAATCACTGCTCTACAGCAATTTCCAGCTGAAGTTGTTTATTTCAAGAGGGTTTGCTAATAGTCATGTGTAAAGAACTCCTTACCTTAAGCAGCTAGAATGTGGGCCTGGCAAAGCCCTGGAAGCCGTCTTTGGATAGGGAAACAAGGAGACGCCATCTTAGTTAAGGGTTTTCTAGAGGGGGCGGGTCCTAATCCAGGAAGCAGAGATTAGACTGCCAGGATTGGTTAGAAAATAGGGGGCGGAGCCTATGTTCAAAAAGAAAAAAATGTACCTTTTGAACTGAGGCTTGAGTTGACAGTTGAAAATTGTCCGTTGGGAGTTTGTCAGTTGGTGTCAACAGTTGGTTGGTGTTAGATAGGAGAGCTGGGTTAATCTTTTGTGGTATTCAAGAGCTAGAGAAATTAGCTAGGAATACAGATAGTGGAACAAGACCTTGTTTGTGGTCTGTTCTTTGTCCCTGAGAAAGGCTAGGCCAAAGGCTATTGGCTAGGTTCCAGAAAGGGGGAATTTTATTTGAAATTGTTATCAGCGGTTAATTTTCTGAGACAATCTCCTGTTTTGTTAACATCACGATTTGAACCCAGAACCCATCTAAGAATTGTACATCAAAAGTAACCAGAAGCTTATGTACTAGTAACTTACTGAAACCACTACGCATTTGTACCAGAAGTAGTTTAAGCCTGTTAAATAAACGTTTTGTTATTGTTAACACTTTATAACAGCCTCAGTGTGAACATCATTGTGATTTAAACCCTCTAGACAAAACAAACATTACTGTAACACAAAAGGGTGTTACTAAGTATACTCTCCACATACAACTCAGTCTGAATACCAAACAAAAAGATGGCAGTGAAAACAACTGAAGAAACAGTTTCAAGATTTCCCAGTTGCCTCTTACACTATTTTAAAATCCCCTGTTCTTTTCCCTGCTAAGTTCCTTATAATTGATGGCAATCGGCTGGTATAGTTTCCTCCAGCAGGGGCGGCTCAACCCATTACACAAAGTAAGCATTTGCAGTATAGTTGATTTTGCCCAGGGGCGCTCTTGAGGCAGTCTTGGGGGAAAATAGACCTTGACATATGCGAGTTGTAGTTACTGGGATGTATAGTTCACCTACAATCAAAGAGCATTCTGAACTCCACCAATGATGGAATTGAACCAAATATGGCACACAGAACTCCCACGACGAACAGAATATATATATCAGTGATTGGTGGGGGGGGGGGGATACTGTTTGCTTACCGTTGAAAATTACCTAGAGCCGCCTCTGTCCCACAGGTTCCTTATAATTGGTGAAGAAGTGGAGAGGGGATTATTTCTATATCTTTCCCTGTCACCAAACTATTTAAAATCTTCTCTCTACTACTTGGTCGTTCCAGCACATCCTTATATCATGGCTTCCTGTTTCCACCATAAGTTCAGGAAGATATACGCTGTGAATATGGAGGTCATACTCTATGCAGCTATGTATTCAGGTTATACTCGGCTTCATGTACTGTGCTTTTCTCATTCTTTGTGTGTATGTGTATGGTTTCCTCGATTATTTGTTCGTGCCAGGTTCAGTTCCTTTTCTCAACTAACTTCAATGACCTTCTCAATTTATGAAGATTGGCATTGTATATGCAACCCACAGATAACAAACACATTCACACACACACCACAGCACAGTTGGCATCTCAGTATGTGGTACACACCATAGAAAGAGACGGCAAAGAGTCCTCCGTTGGCAGCATCGCTATAAAATTTCAGGAGGACCTGGTTGGAAGAGCTCTGGGTGGCTTTCTTAGCTGAGTTTCCGGTGAAAACACCCAACTGTGGAGCTGTTTGCTGAGCTCCGTCCCTGAAAAGCAAACGGGGGAAGGTGAAAAGACATATATCAAAGATTGAGAGGAGGAATTACATGATTTGGGACAGGACTGTGATTTGTTTATTTTATTTATCGTGTCAGGAGCAGACCAAACAGTTGTACTGTCTTCATAGCCCACCCAGGTAACTGGCTGCAAGGAGGGAAATTGACTGGAATCATGTGAAAGCTGATGATACTGTTTATTGTATTAATTAATGCTTTATGTACTGTTTTTAATTAATGCTTTATATATTTTAATGGTTGTTGTATTATTCTAATTGTTTATTTGTAGTGGCATTGAATCGCTGCCAAAATGTAAGCCGTCCTGAGTCCCCCTTCGGGGGTAGAGAAGAGATGGGGCAGAAATACCGGAAATAAATAAATAAATAAATAAACATTGTAAGTTCAAGCTGGGACTTTTGTAGGACAGCCCAGAATTCTTCTGGCATTGTGGAGTCAAATGAAAAACAACCTGGTCATAATTTGTTCCCATTATGTCTTAAGAGTTGAAATTACAATACAATACAAAACTTTATTACAATCACTGACCAGCACAAAGTGTTGGAAGTGTGTGTTCCTCCATGTGTTGCCAAACCACAACTCCCATTATTCATTAGTTGTTCTAGTTAGGGCTCCTAGTAGTTGCAATTCAACATCATGTTGAGGATGCTATCATTCCCTACTCTGTAGCTACAAAACATTCATGTTTTAATATGTGTATCTGAGATAAAGGTTATGACAATTATGTGTTTTTAGCTATTTGTAATCCACCTCGAGCCACAAGGAGAAGTGGGGTGGTAATAATAATAATAATAATAATAATAATAATAATAATAATAATTTGCCTGCGACAAAGAACTGGTGGGATCACAAGCCTGAAAAAGTTAAAGAAAATGGGCACATCAAACTACTCTGGGACTTCCGAATTCAGACTGACAGAGTTTTGGAGCACAATACTATTGTGAATGTTGCAATCCCAGGTGATAGCAGGATTGAAGAGAACCAACTGGAAAAGCTGACACGATATGAACATTTAAAGATTGAACTGCAAAGACTCTGGCACAAGCCAGTCAAGGTGGTCCCAGTGGTGATCGGCACACTGGGTGCAGTGCCTAAAGACCTTGGCTTGCACTTAAACACAATTAGCGCTGATAAAATTACCATCTGCCAGCTGCAGAAGGCCACCTTACTGGGATCTGCACGCATTAGATGCCGATACAACACACAGTTCTGGACACTTGGGAAGTGTCTGACGTGTGATCCTGTACAACAGGCAGCAGAGTGATCTTGTCTGCTGTGGGCTCATCTTGCTGTGTTTCTAATAATAATAATCTATATAAATAAAAATGTAATGTTCGTTTGTGGTATTCACAGAACTTAAAAACCACTGGACGAATTGACACCAAATTTGGACACAAGACATCTAACAACCCAATGTATGTCCTTCACTCAAAATATTGATTTTGTCATTTGGGAGTTGTAGTTGCTGGGATTTATTGTTCACCTACAATCAAAGAGCATCCCAAACTCCACCAACAATGGAATTGAACCAAACTTGGCACACAGTTCTCCCATGACCAACTGAAAATACTGGAAGGGTTCGGTGGGCAGTGTCCTTTGGTTTTGGAGGTGTAGTTCACCTACATCCAGAGAGCACTGTGAACTCAAACAATGATGGATCTGGACCAAACTCTACACGAATACTCAATATGCCCAAATGTGAACACTGGTGGAGTTTGGGGAAAATAGAATCTTGACATTTGGAAGATGTAGTTGCTGGGATTTATCGTTCACCTACAATCACAGAGCATTCTGAACCCCACCAACAATAGAATTGGGCCAAACCTCCCACACAGAACCCCCATGACCACCAGAGTGGGCCACAGCAACACATGGCAGGGGACGGCTAGTAGTAGTAGTAGTAGTAGTAGTAATAATAATAATAATAATAATAATAATAATAATAATAATAATAATAATAATACAACAGCCAGCAGAGTGATCTTGTCTGATGTGGGCTCATCTTGTTGTGTTTCTAATAATAATAATAATAATAATAATAATAATAATAACAACAACAACAACAACAATAATAATAATAATAATAATAATAATAATAATAATTGCTGCAACCTGAGTCTGCCAGGGAAAGTCCCAATTAATACTTTGTCACTCCACTTTTCCAGTAACTTTCAAGATGTCCTGGTTTCTCTCTTGTCCTCTCATTCTTTAATGTTGTCCTCATCTTACTCTAATTTACGGAATTTGAGTTCAAAGTACAAAGGTAGTTTATACTCCATTAACCCAGAGGAGAGAAAGGAGTAGGAAGGTGTAGAATATTGCCAATCTAGTAAAAGCAAAGTGGGGCTACCTTTTCTAGGTTGTGTGTTTTTCCTCATTCATACTTTAAGTTAACCTGACCATACATTCATATGAATCAAGCACTATATGCTATTACAGTAGATGTCCACATGAATCTAAATTAATGGAAGTCATGTCCTGAAGACCATACCCTTGCATCGTTACTGTTCTGATATCCTTGGAATTGCTTCAGAGGGAAGGAATGGGTGCGATGAGGTAGAGAAACTGTCTTAAGATCACATAACCAAGTTGGGCTACCATGGATGGACTCAAACTACTCCCTCTGCCAACTTACCAAACAGTGATGAAGTCATTATATGGCTCCGTTTGCAGCAAGGTGAAGTTGAGGTAGATGCCGTATCCAGGAGACATTGTGAGTAGCCATGTGCAATCCTGGGAATTGGGGTACGGATTGGGAAAGCCAGGGGAGAAGATGGTACCATTGTGGGCTGTGATGTTTCCACCACAAGGGACTGCGCAGAATTGAGAGCAAAAAAAGAGAGAGTAGTCATAAACCAAACACAAAACTCTCTGAAACAGAAGTATTTCCAGAATGCAACCTTTGTCCTGCCTTATTGCAATTAAAGACAGGTAAGAATTACAATTCAGATTTTAGGGGAATTATTTATATTAGTTTTTTCTCAAATACACAATTTTTAAAAATAATTTTCTAAATGATTTTTAAAAAATGTGAACATGTAAAAAACAAATTCATCTAGACCCACAGTTCTGAGGATATAAGTTGTAAAAGTCAGTTTTCAGTTCCTAAGTATTCAGCCATATCAGTCCTGAATTAAGGCTGCTGCCATTTTTGTTCTCAAAGGTATTGTATCTTCACAACCTATAGAGCAAAGAGGAATAATACAATCTTCTCCATGCCAGATATAGCTGTACCTATTGGATTTGGCTGGTACAAACGGTCAAGGAATGCCGTTTTTGAAGTCTCTTAAAGTTCACGAATTAGTTTCTACCTTGGATGATAAGAAGTGGAAATTTCAAAAACGGAATAAAGGAGAAAAGAGAAAATGACAGATTTTCCAGCCACTCTTAACCTTTGTAGGTTTGTTGGGAAGATCAAGTTGGGGGAACAGTACCAGCAGTGTCTTGAGTTTCTTGGATAAAGGGTGGAATACACTAACTAATTAACTGTTAAATGACTGAAAGATTATGTATACCATTTACTTGGATCTCCAGAGTTTGTTTGTTTGTTTGTTTACCATAATTGTATACCGCCCCTCTCAGCCTGGAGGCGACTTGAGGCGGTTTACAGTTGGCAGTCAATGCCCCCAAACAACATTAAATACAGTTTTTATTTATTTATTGTGTCAGGAGCAGACCAAACAGTTGCATTGCAACAGACAAACAGAACACAAAGTTTACAAGCTTGGTAGCTGATTAAATGTTCTTTGACCAGTATCTGGCCACTTGGAGTGCCTCTGGTGTTGCTGCAAGAAGGTCCTCCATTGTGCACGTGGCAGGGCTCAGGTTGCATTGCAGCAGGTGGTCTGTAGTTTGCTCTTCTCCGCACTCACATGTTGTGGATTCCATTTTGTATCCCCATTTCTTAAGGTTGGCTCTGAATCTCGTGGTGCCAGAGCGCAGTCTGTTCAGCGCTTTCCAAGTCGCCCAGTTTTCTGTGTGCCCGGGGGGGGTCTCTCATTTGGTTTCCCTGCTTCTAGGCAGGGGTTTGGACTGGATGGCCCATGAGGTCTCTTCTAACTCTATGATCCTATGATTCTAACGAGGTATCTAGTACCTCCTTAATCGACTGACTAGTTCTGCGATGCATTTAGAAAGGCTGGCCATCTTCACTCTTCCTTTCTATAAATGAACAGGATTTAGGGGAGACGCAACAAAATTGAGAGTGCAAACTTTTAACTTCTATGTCTGTTCGCTCTCCCAGAAACCCCAGACTACTAGGTGGAAACCAGTGATATATGAGACTCATTAAGCAAAAGATCATGGGAAGGATGGAGTGCTCAGAAGACAAAAGTCAGCAGCATTTCAGAAACATGGCAGGCGTTTGTGCTGGAAAGATGAAAAGTGCAATCTGACAAGCCATCCCCCAAATCTGTGGGCCATGACTTTTGGAAAGGGCATCTCTCAGCAAGGCGAGCCATCGGATGCTAGTCATTAAACCTGCTCCACCACAGCAAGATGGATGCTAACACTAGGAGATGATCAAAGTTCTTTCTCTTCCACTGTATTTATTCTGCTGCTTGACTCCCAAGGGCCAGACTTTGATGGCTGCTTGAACGTGAAAAAGGGGGTGAAGAGAATGACTCTGCCAGTTCTGTTTTCACCCACATCTGAGTGATTTTTTTTAAATTCTGTCAAATTAGTGAAAGTTTGCAAAGTTTTTTTCTAAGCAAAGGAAACAAAAGAAACGCCTAACTAATAATAATAATAATAATCTCTCTATATAAAAATGCTCTGTGCATAATGAGTACCTTAAAAACAAAAGAACCAATGAACGAAATCACACCAAATTTGGTAACAAAACGTCTCACTACACAAGGAGTGACCATCACTCAAAAAATTATGATTTTGTCATTTGGGAGTTGTAGTTGCTGGGATTTATAGTTCACCTATAATCAAAGAGCATTCTGAACTCCACCAACGATGGAATTGAACCAAACTTGGCACACAGGCCTCCCATGACCAACAGAAAATACTAGCAGCGTTTGGTGGGCATTGACCTTGAGTTTGAGAGTTGTAGTTCACCTACATCCAGAGAGAACTCTGGACTCAAACAATGATGGATCTAGACCACACTTGGCATGAATATTCCATATGCCCAAATAGGAACAGAGATGGAGTTTGGGGAAAATAGACCTTGGCATTTGGGACTTGTAGTTACTGGGATTTATAGTTCACCTACAATCAATGACCATTCTGAATGAACCCCACGAATGACAGAACTGGGGCAAACTTCCCACACAGAACCCCCATGACCAAGAGAAAATACTTAAGGCCATCCAGTCCAACTCCCTTCAGCAGGGCAAGAAAACGTAATCAAAGCCCTCCTGACAGAGAGCCATCCAGCCATAGATACAGATAGGTAGATATGATTCACACACAGAGAAAGATATAGTATCATAGATTTGAAAGGGACCCCTAAAGAAGGACAATTATATGTTGCATGTTCGAGAGTAGGCAAACCAAACAATCTCTACATCAACACTGACAAAGAACCATCAAGAAATACTGTTTACCCACAAGCATAAAGATATTACATATATTAGAAACCAGCACTTTCTAATTACTTTATTTTCCAGATCAACAGACTGGGCCACAGTAACACATGGCAGGGGATGGCTAGTAATAATAATAATAATAATTATTATTTATACCCTGCCACCATCTCCTCAAAGGGGACTCGGGGTGGCCGACATGAGGCCAAGCCCAGTAGTACATTACAACAAAATAAAACCAAAAACAGAGAACAAACATCACAATAAAATAAATAAAACATAAGAACACAATAAAACAGGGCAAAAATACGGTGAGAAATAAATCACAATCACAATGAGCAGGCCACATGTACAGGATAAAATGATAAAAACTCAGGATGAGATAGAAATGAAACAGAAATATTTGTGAGATTGAAACTCATAAATAGGCCTACAGAAATCATAAAGTCGCTCAGAATAGAGAAGTGATGCTTTACGGATGGAATCGTAGTGTTGGAAGAGACATCATGAGCCACTGAGTCCAACTCCTTGTTCACAATGCAGGATCTCCAGCAGATAGTCTCTAATCTTCTTTTTTGGAGCTGCCCAGAGATGAGGAAGGATAGAGATGAGCTGGAAAGTGTCCAGAGAAGGACAACTAAAATGGTCCACGGTCTCAACGTCAAAATATATGAGGACAGGTTGAGGGAACTCGATATGTTTAGTATGGAGACAAGAGGGTCAAGAAGTATAATAGAGTCTCGCTTATCCAACCTTTGCTCATCCAACATTGTGTATTATCCAATGCAGTCTGCCTCCTCCCTGGATCCACAGCTGTTTCAATACATTGCGATGTTTTCGTGCTAAATTAGTAAATACAGTAATTACTACATAACATTACTGTTTGTTGAGCTGCTTTTTCTGTCGATTTGTTGTAAAACATGATGTTTTGGTGCTTAATTTGTAAAATCATAATGTAATTTGACGTTTAATAGGCTTTTCCTTAATTCCTCGTTATTATCCAACATTTTCGCATATCCAATGTTCTCCTGGCCCCTTTATGTTGGATAAGTGAGACTCTACTGTAATATGATACCCATGTTTTAAAGCATGTCATATTGAATAAGGGAAAAAATTGTTTTCTGCCAAATTCAAGGTGCAGGTTATAACCTGCACCTTAAAGCCCTAAATGGTTTGGGCCCTGCCTATCTTCGCGATTGCATCTTCCCCTATGAACTGGTGCGAACTTTAAGATCTTCCAGGGAGGCCCTCCTTTCGCTCCCACCACCATCACAAGCATGGTTGGTGGGGACAAGAGAGAGGGACTTCTTGGTGGTGGCCCCCTGCCTCTGGAACGTTCTTCCTAGAGAAATAAGACAGGTCTCCTCCCCTCCTTTTGTAAGAGCCTGAAGACCTGGTGGTTTAAACAAGCCTTTGAGAATGACTAGTTCTAGCTCAGCCCCAGATACTGTTGAATATGGCTATATCTTTTTCTACCAATTACCCAGGTTACTTCCTCCTACTAAACCCCAGATATGAACAGCCATAGAATTGTATGATTCATACAAGTCTATGAACCTGTATGAACTGTATAATTGTATTTTAATGTATTTTATATTGATGATTTATAATTTTTTTCTTATTGTATTGACTCTTATGTTGTAAGCCGGCCTGAGTCCCTCCTCGGAGGTTGAGAAGACCGGGGTATAAAAACTCTAAATAAATAAATAAATAATAAATTTACCTATTACTGTTATTGCCTGTTATAACATTGCACCTAATTTCCCGGACCCTCTACAAATTTTAAATTGCCTTTTAAATTGCCTTGTACAAGCAGGATTATTTTAAGTATATATGTGCTATTATGATTTTTTATGCTTATATTGTCTTGTTACTTTTATGTTTATGTTGTTTACTTTGTATGTATTGATGATGTTACTTGGAGACTGCTCTGAATTTCCTCGGGGAGATAGAGCGGTATATAAATAAAGTTTTGTTGTTGTTGCTCCAGAGAACAGAATCCATAGAATGAATTCCACCCAAGAGCTGTTTGGTAGTGAAATATGCGACTAAAATGATCAAGGGTCTGGAGAACAAGCCCTATGAGGAGCGGCTTAAGGAGCTGGGCATGTTTAGCCTGAAGAAGAGAAGGCTGAAAGGAGGTATGATAGCCATGTATAAATATGTGAGAGGAAGTCACAGGGAGGAGGGAGCAAGCTTGTTTTCTGCTTCCTTGGAGACTAGGATGCGGAACAATGGCTTCAAACTACAAGAAAGGAGATTCCATTTGAACATGAGGAAGAACTCCCTGACTGTGAGAGCCGTTCAGCAGTGGAACTCTCTGCCCCGGAGTGTGGTGGAGGCTCCTTCTTTGGAGGTTTTTAAACAAAGGCTGGATGGCCATCTGTCAGGGGTGATTTGAATGCAATATTCCTGCTTCTTGGCAGGGGATTGGACTGGATGGCCCATGAGGTCTCTTCCAACTCTATGATTCTATGATTCATGGGACTCCAGTGAAGTATCCTTTTCTGGAGGTTTTGAAACAAAGGCTGGATGAAAGGCTGGATGGTTGTCTGTCATGAGTGCTTGGATTATGTTTTTCTACCCAGCAGGAGGTTGGACTCGATGGTCTTTGTGGTGTCTTCCAACACTATGATTTTAGAAAGTTGCCAGTGATTAGTCAAGTAAGTGGGAACAGACCTCCCTCCCTACCTAACAGAAAGCCTTCTAAAAGGTGACCATAAAACCATACCTTCACATCTGGGCAACGGGTGGTCCCAGTTCCTATTGGTTCCATGTTGACAGGTCAAGACCGGGTGGCCAATCAGCTGATAACCAGGGAGGCATTCAAAAGATATTGACTGGCCCACGCTGTAACCAGCTCCTCTCACGATGCCATTAGCGAAGGGCTCAGGGTCAGGACACTCCTGGAGTTCATAAGCTGGAAATCAAAGGAGGGAAGCGGTGATAAAGTTAAGCACATCTTCCCCTTAGTGATTGGTGCTTTTCTATGGCAAAGAGTGATAACCCAGTAAAGGAACACATTTGGAAGGCTCCAAGTGCAACCTCGCCTGTTGAAAGAATCAGGTAGCAAGTGGTAGGCAAGTTCCAGATGTGAGACCTTGGACAGCTTCTACAAGTTAAAGGTAGGCAACAGGTAGATTGGATGTACAAATAGTTTTATTTAGCTTAAGTCTCTTGTGTTCCAGACACCTCTGGGCAATATGCAAACAGGCAGAGCACACCACTTGCATGCATTAGGTGCTAAGTTCATTCTTTGGCATCTCCCTATAAGACTGAGAAACACAACTCTCTGAATCTCTCGAGAATGATTAACAATCAGTGCTGGGCTACACAGACTAGTGGTATAAAGAATATGGTAAGACCTTTGTTCTCCTTCAGGCTTGGTTACTGGAAATTGCCAATATGACCCATTGCCATAGAGCAGTGGTTCTCAACCTACTGAATGCCGCGACCCCTTTCTACATTTCCTCATGTTATGGTGACTTCATAACTATAATTTTGCTACTGTTAGTGTTCTGGTATAGCTGTACCAGGAGCTCCAATTTTGTTTGCTTTGCATTGAATGTTTGTTTGCAGTCCTAAGTTTCAGAGATTCTGCAGATAGGTGGCTTCTTTTGGTTGCAGTTATAGGGCAGGCCACCTGTCCATCATCGTTAAGTTTGGTCCCGCCCCCTGCTCAGGGCAATTGGGAAGGGAAGGGGACCATTTTTCAGTTAGGTTAACCTTTCTATAGGATGTGTGGAACTTCCCCTGTACAAAAGCTTCAAGCTTTAAGAATTACCAGGGTTACAGAAATTCCAACAGAAACAGAAAGGAAAGAAATCCAGAGGAGAACAGCTTTAAGAGTCTCCTAAGAACTCCAGGGAAGCATTCCCACAGCTTTGGGAATTTCCAGGAAAACAGCCTTAAAGACTAAAGAACTCCAGCTGGAGAATATCCACTGCCTTGCTGGTAGGTCCACTCGACGTCCGAGAAGCAGTTCGGCCTGGTAGTTCGGCACACATCAGTGAGGGTTGGATTTCAGTCAGCCTGGGAGAAGTTAAAATGGGGAATTTTCCTTTAAAGAAAACGTTATTGAAGATAGTGCCTGTCCCCTGTGGACAAGATTGAGAGAACCAATACTTTATCAAGAAAGCCTTGAAGTTCCTGTTTGGTTTCATTAATAAAAGACTTTGTTGTACTTATCTAGCCATCTGAAGATTCTTCTGTAGTGGAAACCTCTGAGAACTTCTTCTTAGGCCCCTGGCTTCCCGCTGGGCAAAGGTTACACATCCTATTTTCAAAGTCAACTAACTACGGGCCCAGCGGCGACAGAACAGTTAGGAATCATGATGTAAATATCTAATATGCAGGATGTATTTTCATTCACTGGACCAAATATAGCACAAATACCCTATACACCCAAACTTGAATACTGGCAGAGTTGGGAGGGATTGATTTTGTCATTTGGGAGTTGTAGTTGCTGGGATTTGTATTTCACCTACAATCAAGAGCATTCTGACCTTGAGTTTTCGAGTTGTAGTTCATCTATATCCAGAGAGCACTGTGGACCCAAACTTGGCACGGATACTCAATATGCCCAAATGTAAACACTGGTGGAGTTTGGGGAAAATAGACCTTGACATTTGGGAGTTGCAGTTGCTGGGATTTATAGTTCACCTACAATCAAAGAGCATTCTGAACCCCACCAATGATAGAATTGGGCCAAACTTGCCACACAGAATCCTCATGGCCAACAGAAAATACTGTATTTTCTGATGGTCTTTGACAACCCTTCTGTCACTCCCTCATGACCCCCTTGGGGGTCCCGACCCCCAGGTTGAGAAATGCTGCAATAGAGTCATCCCAGAGGTATTAGAAATACCTAGAAATGTACCCTACCTAGGAATTTCCTAGGTCCTCCAAGGCATCTCTATAGTTCTATATATTCCAGAGAAAGTATCCTATAGAATGATTTGTAGGACCTTGCAAATATCCAGACAGATCATTCTCGCCACTCAGTCTATGTAAGTGAAATGACCATTTATAAAATCAGCAAGGATTTACATCCCCAAGATGACTAAAATTTTCATTTGGTCTAAGACACTTTGTGTTTCTTATTATCACAAAACAACACTTTCCTCCATTGAAATTTGTGCATATTTTCCCGATATGCACATTGTCCCATTGGCGGAAGCATGTTTAGCACAATTTGGAAACACATATATCTCCCAAATACATATATAGTAATATTTTTATATCATTACAATAAAGAAATAATAACTGAGAAGAATTTGATGTAAAAATATCTGGATCCACCTCAGCATCAATAAATTTTTTAATGTCCCGGATTCTTATTTTTTAAAAGCTGATTTTTCTTCACAGCTATAATATTAGGCCTTCAGGGTTTGTTGCCTCGAATGTTTTTCATCTTTGCTATGGCAAATCATACTTTTGCAGTTTTTCATTTCGATTCTATTTTAATTGGATTGCATTGATTTTGTTGTATTTCATTTTGTAATTACATATTCCGTCCTGACAAATTCAGCTGCGTGGCAACTCATACACTGAATTAATCAACAAATGTATGTCGGCACCTTGAAATTAATAGACAAATTATATGCTGGTGCCTTGCTAACAGAAGGTGCAGTAAACTTTAGAAGGATCAGGGAAGAGTTGAAACAAACTGAGAAATATTCATCTAGCAGAACTCTTAGCCAGCAGAACATAACACAATGCAACACAACGGATGTAGAGATCAAAAAAACATTGGCTTAATGTAACCCAAGGTAATGTGCACTTTTGCTTTGTTTTGAAGAAGAAGCATGAGACTAGTCACAAGCTCCTTATTCTCCATTAATAGTCCTCTCCCTGGTAGCTGCTGCCATTAAATGGTGGTGAGAGGCAGAAGGTATAAAAGGGAGTGGATTGAGCCTTCAAGATGACTATGCTGTCACCCGCTGGGCCTATAGCCGTTGGATTTTGAACAGGATGTGCTCTTTGTGCCCAGCGGGAAGCCGGGGTGCCTCGAGTGAGAGGCCCTAAGGATTTTCCTATACAGAGTCTTTAGAAGCTTGAAAGGTTTAACAAAGTCCTTTATTATTGCTTAAGTCTTCAACAAACAATCAAATACTTCTTAGATCTTCAACAAATTAAACAAATGCTTCAAGGTTTTGAATCAACTGGTGGCTTTCCTAATCTTGTCCACAAGGGACAGGCAACTGGCTTTGTGAACTGTTTTTTTTTCTTTAAGAGGAAAACCCTTTTTAACCCCTCCTTGGGCAATCTACTTTCTAAACTTTGCTGGTGTGGGCTCTACTCCCGGCTCCAAACTGCTTCTTGGGTCCCGAGTAGACCTACCAGTCAAAGCTTTGTAGATTCTCCAGCTGGAGTCCTTTGGAACTGCTTCCCCCTGGAATTTCCCCCGGATGCTGTGAGAAACTAAGCTTCTCTACAGGTGGAGCTAATCCATGTCCTGTAGCTAAGCTTTCCAATGCAAGACTGACCTAAAATGGCTCCCTCTCCTCCCAGAGCCCTGGGGAAAGGGGCGGAACCAAAACTTAACAATGATTGATGGGTCATTGGCCCTATAATTGCAAACCAAGGGAAGCCACCTTATTGCAAAATGCATGGAACTTTGGAATACATGCAAACACTCAAAGAAAGAAAAAGAAGTTGGAGCTCCTGGCGCAGCCATACCAGAACAATGACCTCCCATCCCCATCCCATTTCTTTGACACAGAGTGAGATGATGGGCTCTTCGATCCTTTGGGCAATACAGATGAGCAGTATAGTACCTTCTCCTGGTGAACAAAGGTTGTTTGGTATTAAATTATATGTATTGAACTTGGTACTATGAAGGACTCAGAGTTCATGAGAGACCACTGACCAGTTATGGTGACCAGTTTGGAGAAACTTTGAGATACTTCCATCTAAAGGTGACAAATAATGCTTTGGAGACCCACAAGGTGTAAGAGAGAACAAAGAGAGTCAAAGGCATTATTTGTCACCTTTAGATGACAAAGCATTATTTGTCACCTTTAGATGGAAGTATCTCAAAGTTTCTCCAAAATGGTCACCATAACTGGTCAGTGGTCTCTCATGAACTCTGAGTCCTTCATGGTGGCTTCCATACCTATGGGCATTTGGTCAAAATCTAGACCTCCAGCTGTCCCACCATGAACAACAAAGATCCATGAAAATCCCTTTGTTATTGTAAGCAACATAGGAATGTTTTAACTTATTCGCTGTGGAGAATTCTTAAGCTTCAGCTGAATATGACTTAAAACTCTTCTTGTAACTTTGCAACTACTTTTCAATGTACCTGAAGGAAAAGATCCTTCATGTCAAAGATACCTGATTGCTAACATAGATTGCCTGCTTAGAATAAAGATTTTTTTCTTGTAAGGTTCTCCTTCTTCCACACTCTCCTCACATCCTTTGTTTGATTGGTGTTTACACAACAAGATTCTCAAATCCTAAAAAAAGTAGTGCAAACACCTCTTCAAGTCAGAGCTGGAAAGTGGAAGCAACCCCTCAGGAGCTTCCCACAGAGTTAGTGGGATACATCAGTGGGTGATCTCAAGGAGTACCATCTACTAGTTGGAAGCAGAAGTCCTCCCAGAGGGGTATGATGACCTTATTCTACTTCCCTTTATCTAGGCAACTTCAGAAGTTCCTCAGATAAAGGCCCCTCTCCCTCCCTCCTTCCCTCCCCAACCTTTTGATAGTGGTAGTGATGACTCCATTGAGATTGATAACTGCTGGAAGAAGAGGACATGGAACTATGTTAATAAAGTGTTATCATCTATCCGCCTTACCCAGGAATTTGGCCAGAATCTCAACGTGAAGTCCAAAACCACATTCTGCTTCTATGTAATGCCTGGAAAAACAACTCCCTGCTTTTTAACATTTACAGGGTGGCATCTTTCTCTCTCTCTCTCTCTCCCCCCCCCCCCTTTTAACAAGACATCTTTTCCAAGAATCTTTCCTCAGAGCAATTTCATAGGGATGACAAAGCAAGTACAGCTTGAGATTCCCTTATCTGGAATGCTTAGGGCCAGAAGTATTTAGGGTTGTTAATTTTTTTGAACATTTGCATAAAGATAATGAGTTATGAAGATGTGACTGAAATCTAAACAGTAGCATCCATCAATTTTAGACTGGAAACATTTTAGGGGTGTTTTGTGCATCTATTATTGTACGACATTGTGTTTCTTAAGTGAGCTGATGAAGAGGCCCCACGCTTATTGTTTTTCCTGCAATGTGCCAGAAACTTTAGCCATATTGGTGTCCATTAACAACAATCGTTTCTTTATTTTTCAGATGCTCTCTGGGGACCGACTGCAGATGGCTCAGCATCAGATGCTGGTCTAGCATTTTGGGCAGCACTGAATATAGCCAAGACTCTATAGAAATAGGAAATAATAACACTAAAAACCTGAGGACAGATGCAAAACTTCATCTGCTTTCAATTTAGACACAGAGTGAGAACAGCTGGGGGCAAAACGAAGCTCAGCAAAAGAACGTTGCAACAGGGAATTCCTCAGATACAATGATCTGGTGTCCTCCAAGCATTTAAGTAATTCAAGTCAGGTTGAATTCCCAGGCTGAGTCCATAGGCCCTCTAGGTAATCATGAATTACCTTGTCTGTATCGGCACAAAGAACCATCCAAGGCTATTAGGATTAAGCAAGGCTTTTGTGTAACGTCTTTGCAGACACATTTGGATTAAATCCACAAGGTTCTGCTTCAAAAGGAGACCATGGCTCTCATATTCAGTGCTCTTCTTGCAAACCCCAAAGGACCTACAGGTTTCCCTCTGCTGTCTCCTTCTTACCTTGATATTCCACCTTGAAGCCGGGCTTGTTCTGTGAATGATCACTGTGGAAATAGAGGGTGGTTTCATGTGATGTGGACAAAAGGGAGCCCGGGAGGTCGCTCCCACTGAACCGGCTGATGATGTTGCTGGTGTCGTACGGTCCATTGCGGACTTCAATATAGTCGTGGTTGGGTTCAGTGGAGAAGTTCAGGAACTGGAGATGAGCACCTGCAGACCAAGGGCAAAATGGCTTCAATGGAAGACGGAAACTTTGACTAAATTAACTGATTTATGAGGCCATAAAGAAGACTCCAGCAAAGCATTCCAGTGGGGAAGGGTGCGGGGAATGCGGAAGTGCTTCATCAGCGTCGCAGATGGACGATGAAAGCGACAGCTCCCCTGGCAGCCAGAAAAAGTTAAATAGCCTCTGTCTATGTCTGTATACGTTTATATGTCAAAAATTGGCACTGAATGTTTGCCATATATGTGTAAACTGTCATCTGCCCTGAGTCCCCTGCGGGGTGAGAAGAGCGGAATATAAAAGCTGTAAATAAATAAATAAATAAATAATAGTGGTGGCTAGTGGTTCCTAAGTGGACCAGTGAACCTGCTTTGAGCTTCAGTCCAAAATGGAAAGTGTCAAAGGTGCTAAAACTATTGAGGAAGAATGGCAAGAAGTGTGGGCTGCTCCTTGAATACTTGAGTTGAAGATTAGTATTCTACCATGCTGTTGTCTAGGGCATATCTACACTGTCAAATTCATACAATCTGACACCAATTTAACCACGACAGTTCAATGCTATGGAATTCTGGAAATTGTAGTTTTACAAAGTCTTTAGCCTTTTTTTTGACAAAGACTGCTGGTGCTTCATTAAGCTACAACTCCCAAGATTCTGTAGCATTGATTCGTGGAACTTGAAGTGGAGTCAAGCTGCATTAATTCTACACTGCAGATATATCCAATATCAAAAGTGGGCAGCTGCATAGAGGCAGGAGCCAATGCTTGCCCCTCACGATGCACACTGCACATTCATGGTGCACTGAATTATGTGACATTTTACCATCCTTAGGCAGAGTTTTGCTGTTTTCTCCACTTTGGGAGATGCACAATGCAGCATTATTTATTTATTTACTTACTTATTTACTTACAATATTTCTACCCGGCCTTTCTCACCCCGGAGGGAACTAAAGGTGGCTATACATACAGGCAACAATTTGATGCCTTAAAACACAATGTACACTTAAATAAATATTAAAATTGAATTAAAAAGCACATTAAAATAAATTAAAACATTTTAAAAAAATCATTCAGAGTTAAACATGTAATCCACGAGCGTTATTCAGGCTGTTCCCAATGGTCATTGCACATTGTTCCAAGTCTATCTATTGCTCAAGTTGAAGAGAGATATTGACAAGCTGGAATGTGTCCAGAGGAGGGTGACTAAAATGATCAAGGGTCTGGAGAACAAGCTCTATGAGGAGCAGCTTAAGGAGCTGGGCATGTTTAGCCTGAAGAAGAGAAGGCTAAGAGGAGATATGATAGCTATGTATAAATATGTGAGAGGAAGTCACAGGGAGGAGGGAGCAGGCTTGTTTTCTGCTTCCTTGGAGACTAGGACGCGGAACAATGGCTTCAAACTACAAGAGAGGAGATTCCATTTGAACATGAGGAAGAACTTCCTGACTGTGAGAACCGTTCAGCAGTGGAACTCTCTGCCCCAGAGTGTGATAGAGGCTCCTTCTTTGGAAGCTTTTAAACAGAGGCCGGATGGCCATCTGTTGGGGGTGCTTTGAATGAAATTTTCCTGCTTCTTGGCAGGGGGTTGGACTGGATGGCCCTTGAGGTCTCTTCCAACTCTATGATTCTTTGATTCTAAGTTCTCCAAATGCTTAGTCACAAAGCCACATTTTCATTCTCTTGAGGAAGGTCGGGGGGGGGGGGGTTGATCTAATATCCCTTGGGAGGGAATTCCACAGCTGAGGGGCCATCACTGAGAAGGCCATTTGTCATTGGTTTGTTGGAAGGAGGAGTCAGACCAACACTGAAATCATTTTTGGGGATGGGTGTGTGGGTTTTTGAGTTCATCAAGTGTTTCCAGAGCCACAAATTGGATCACAAAGGATTTCATTGCTGGGTTATAAGTAAGTGGGACATGGTGACTACATGAAACCTGTGACCCCCATGGTCCTCTTCTCTGGTCTCAATGAAAGCTGACCTAGTTCTCTCTGAGACAGCCTAACAACAGTTCTGCAAACAAGGCAATGCATTCCCTCTTCGTATGGTTGAAAATGTTATGGGAAAGGCAGGGTGCATTTTCTTACCAAATCCCACAGGAAAGGATATCCTCCATGTACAGTCGCTGTTACTGGGGTAGTTTCCCGGGAAGCCTGGACTCAGAATGACCCCTTCCATCTCTTCCATGGTCCCTCCACATTGTGCTGCAAAGGTTGCAAGAAGAGTTACGTGGCTAAAGCAAACTGAAATTAATACTTTCGTTTTGCATTTAGGCAGGACACAAACTTGTGAACAGTGACTACCTCTGTATTGTCGAAGGCTTATATAAATGCTGGACCACTCTAACAGCTACCATGCCAGGGCACACAGAGAAGCCATTGAAATCCACAAGCATGTGGATAATTTCACAGAAAGGAAGAAACACTGAAAATGAACAAAATCTGGCTACCAGTATTTAAAAACTAAAATCACAGCAATAAATAAAGAACAACACACAAAAATAGGGGAGCTCCAGACAAGAAACAATCAGGGACAGCTAATCACCTCTCAACAAAGGATTCCCCAGGCAGTAAGAAGCCAGACCTTGAAACTGCTAGGCAATTAAATGCTAATTATGGTGGCCAATTGAAACATTCACATTTACCGCCAACAGACAAGAGTTCTTTCTCCCACCCTGGACATTCCATTTTTCTAGTTTCCAACAGACCTCATAACCTCTGAGGATGCCTGCCATAGATGCAGGTGAAACGTTAGGAGAGAATGCTTCTGGAACATGGCCATACAGCCTGAAAAACTTACAATAACCCAGTAACTACCTCATTGTGAATCCTGAATGTCATGGACTTTGGCTCTCCCTTGTTGCTGTTTTGAAAACCTGGCCACACTAGTGAGGATACAACCAAATGTATTGTCGAAGGCTTTCATGGCCGGAATCACTGGGTTGTTGTAGGTTTTTTCGGGCTATATGGCCATGGTCTAGAGGCATTTCTCCTGACGTTTCGCCTGCACCTATGGCAAGCATCCTCAGAGGTAGTGAGGTCTGTTGGAACTAGGAAAAGGGTTTATATATCTGTGGAATGACCAGGGTGGGACAAAGGACTCTTGTCTGCTGGAGCTAGGTGTGAATGTTTCAACTGATCACCTTGATTAGCATATAATGGCCTGACAGTGCCTGGAGCAAACTTTTGTTGAGAGGTGATTAGATCTCCTTGATTGTTTGCTAATGTGGTCAGTTGAAACATTCACACCTAGCTCCAGCAGACAAGAGTCCTTTGTCTCACCCGGGTCATTCCACAGATATATAAACCCTTTTTCCTAGTTCCAACAGACCTCACTACCTCTGAGGATGCTTGCCATAGATGCAGGCGAAACGTCAGGAGAGAATGCCTCTAGACCATGGCCATATAGCCCGAAAAAACCTACAACAACCCAGTGATTCCGGCCATGAAAGCCTTCGACAATACATTTGGTTGTATCCTCACTAGTGTGGCCAGGTTTTCAAAACAGCAACAAGGGAGAGCCAAAGTCCATGACATTCAGGATTCACAATGAGGTAGTTATTGGGTTTTGTAACTGGGTTATTGTTACTGGGTTATTGTCACTATCTCTGAGGATGCTTGCCATAGATGCAGGTGAAACGTCAGGAGAGAATGCCTCTAGACCATGGCCATATAGCCCGAAAAAACCTACAACAACCCAGTGATATAACCGAAGCTTGGAAAAGTTACTTTATTGATCTACACAACGAGGTGGATTATTTTGAACAGTAATATCATAGAGAACACTTTCCCCAGAATTGTAGCAAAATAAAAATGAGAACATCAACAAAACAGCTGAACCATTAGATTTTTAATTATTATTCACATATTAGTTGAATTTATATTTGTCCATCCAATGAGCTCAAATGGGTTCTTCATACTGCACCCCACAAGAACAACTCTGTGAGGAGGGTCAGACCAAGGGAAATCAACTGACTCAATTTCATGGTTCAATGGGGACTTAAACCTAGTTTTCCCAAACCCTACTGCAATTGTTCCACCCTACTGGTTTTGATTGATTGTGGCTTTACGAGTGTGAGTCAGCCAGGTCTACAAACCAGATTAACAAATCAAATCAAAAGTGCGAGGCAAGGGGCGAAGACCAAAAGGCATTCAAATGTATATATGCAAAACAATTTTAGCAAATAACAGAACTGTTCAAATCCTATCAGATTAGTGCTTGGATAAGTTGATTTCTGGAGGCTCAAAAGAAATACAAAACAAGTTGATAAATTAAAGAAAGGAAAGGCTGCGAAGCCAAGCGGGCAGATGTTCATAACAGCATCTCAAAGTAATGATGGCAGTAACTTTTGGCATATGGTCCCCGATCCCTTGGGGATCCCAAATGGAGCTCCCCAGTGTCTCATTCCTACAGAGAAATGGGAGAAACATTTCAGAATTATCTTTAATGACTCAGAAACACCTGGAAACAGTAATAGGAGGAACTTCCAGAAAAATTCTAAGAATTTTCTTTTTCACTTCCAGCTGGGGGCTCCGATGTCAGTAGGGAAGTGACTCTAGATTTTGGATAGCCTTCAAGGAGCTATCTCAGGTAACAAACCTATATTGAGGAAAAGCTACAGAACTTTGGACAACTCCTTTACAACTGTCTAAAAGTTGGAATGGATTCACCATCTGACTTATTTCGTATCAAAAGCACTGCATAAATTAGTATATAACCGATAAAAACAGAAGGCATGCAGGTGGCTAAATATCTTTTGACCAAAAACGGGCAACAGCAATGGCATTGTCTGTAGCCTCCAACAATTCTTCCTCTGTACATGAGGCAGGGCATAGTGGACAAGCATACAGATGCGAAGTTGTCTGTTCTGCTCCACAGTCACATAAGGTGTAGGATTCTTTAAGGTAGTGCCATTTTGCCAGATTGTCTGTCTATTTATTTATTTATTTATTTATTATTCAAACTTATATGCCACCACTCCCCTGGGGCTCGGAGCGGCTTACAAGAACAGACTAAAATGTAACACAATTTAAAAACAATTTAAAACAATTTAAAAACAATTAAAAACAAAAATATCAAAGATCAAAGGCCTGTCAAAACAGATATGTCTTACATGCCCTGCGGAAAGCTGATAGGTCCCGCAAGGCATGCACTTCAGGTGGCAGAGTATTCCAGAGTGATGGTGCCACTGCTGTAAAGGCTCTGGTCTGGTTGCTGTTAGACACAAGGTCTTGACACTGGGAATTTCCAACAAATCTTGATCCTCAGAACGGAGGGATCTCTGGGGTTGGTAGGGGGTGAGGCGGTCCCTCAGGTACATCAGCCCCAGACCATGCAAGGCCTTGACACTTTGAAAGCTCAATTGGTAACCAATGCAGGTGCAGTAAGATTGGTGTTATGTAGCATCTCATCGGAGTTCCCGCAAGAAGCCGAGCAGCTGCATTTTGTACCAACTTGAGCTTCCGGATCACCGACAGAGGAAGGGCAATGTAGAGGGCGTTACAGTAGTCCAGTCTTGAGATGACTGTAGCCTGGATCACCGTAGCTAGGTCGTCCCTGGACAGGTAGGGGGCCAGCCGTCTGGCCTGCCGCAGATGACAAAAGGTGGTTCTGCTAACGGCGGAGAGCTGGGCCTCCATCATCAGCAGAGGGTCCAAAAGGACTCCCAGACTCTTTACCAATGATGATGGGCGTAGCACCTCGCCATCCAGGGTAGGCAACTGGATATCCCCACTGCCCGGTTGACCCAGCCATAGGATCTCCGTCTTTGCTGGATTCACCTTCAACCTTTTGATCTGCCCACTCCACTTCTGAGTCTATTCAGGGACTTCCAAGTTGCCCATTCTTGTGTTTGCCCCTGGAGGAAGACCCTCATGGGAAGGGGGGCATCTAATTGGGATTTCCTGGTTTAGCTGCCCAGAGGGATACCCTTGCTTTGGCTGGGGGGATGCCAAGAGGAGTGGTAGTTCTCATAAAGCTTTTCCTTGATTTGAGTCTGTGGGGAGGAGGCTGGTAGCCATGTAGTGGGTGGCTTTCAGTTTTCAACCTTATTTCTCTCACATTTAGCAGCAACTTCCCATCACACATCATGGGGGGGGGGGGGGCAATGCCAGCTAGCTTGTAGAGTTTATCAACAGGTGTAGGTTTAAGACATCCTGTGATTATTCTGCATGTTTCATTCAATGCTATGTTCACCTGCTTTGCATGGGCAGACCTATGCCAAACAGGGCAGGCATACTCAGCAGTTGAGTAAGACAAGACCAGAACTGATGTTCTTACTAATTTTGGGTGTGCACCCCATGTGCTGCCAGTATGTTTCCGCAGGATGTTATTACGTGCAGCTACTTTGTGCTTGGTGTTCAAGTAGTGTTTCCTATCTGCTAGTGACACTGAGATATTTAGGATGGAAACAATGTTCAAGCTCTTGACTGTCCCAGGTGACTTTCAGTTTCCTGTTGGCTTCACGGTCATTTTGATATGAAATAAATAACCACCTGACTGACATGGGAACCATTATTCACTACTCTTTAGCTCCTTTTATTCGCTTGGAGAAATAAATCTCTCACAGACTTTATTCATTTGTTGGCCTCCCTTTTCTCAATGCAGAGGGTATAATGTTTTAGGCATAACTGTAAATTCTCTTTTCTTATCATTTTACCTCTACTCATTATTGTCCCTTCTTCATAGCCTATGTCTTCCTTCATCCATCAATGCCAACTCAAAATATACCTTATGTTGTATGTCAGCTTGTGATTGTGTCTGATGTTCATGATGGGAATTGAGATGATGTTCCTGATGGTGGGCCTGGGTCTGTTAGCAATGGGGATGAGGGTTTGCCTGGGCCTGGGTTAAGCTCAGATGAGAGGCCCGAGTTGTCTCAGAAAGATTCACAAGGTTACATTCCTGTGAGAGGCCCTTCACAGTCTTTCTCAGAGCAACTGTCTGGAAATGATTTGTCAGGTGCAGAACTTAATGAGAGTCAAGTTAATGAGAGTGTAGATAGAAGGCAAGGCTTTCGTAAACAGAGACAGAGTGCACAGGCGCAAAGATGATCAGCGCATTTACAGGAAAAGAAAGATAAGAAACCTTTATCTAGTGGTCAGGTCAAGAGAAATGCTTTCCTTTCGGTTTTGGGATCTGGAAAAGGCTTAAACTGATTCATGGGAAAGATTTGCCTCAGTTGGGTCAATGTTGGAATTTCATGATTGTCTTGGTTTCAAGTGTTCTTAGTTTCATGTACCAAGTTTTTGTCAAGCTCCTGATTTATGTAATTTAATTTTTCATGCTACCTTGTAGGAGCTCCTGGTGGCGCAGTAGGTTAAACCCTTGTGCCGGCAGGACTGAAGACCGACAGGACGGGGGGTTTGAATCCAGGGAGAGCGTGGGTGAGCTCCATCTATCAGCTCCAGCTCTCTGTGTGGGGACATGAGAGAAGTCTCCCACAAGGGTGGTAAAACATCAAAATATCCGGGCGTCCCCTGGGCAACATCCTTGCAGACGGCCAATTCTCTCACACCAGAAGCGACTAGCAGTTTCTGACACAACAACAACAAAAAATGCTACCTTGTTTCTTGGATTGTTGTGCCTTGTTTCATGAATTGTTGTTCCAATTGATCTTATTTTGCCTCGAAGTTCATGGACTATCCTTTGTTTTGGGAACTTTTCTGTTTTGCTAATTTTACTGCTTTGCCTACATATATTCTTTAATAAACTGCTTGCCGAATTTACCAAGCTGTTATGGTGTTTAAGGTCAGAGGTATTCCTGCTCTGGTATACGACACCTTAATACAGTATTAATTTGCTTCCTTTGTTAACCCAATCTAACCATTCTACTTCTTTGGAGAACGCTTAGCCAAATCCTTCCACACATGCAATTTATTACTCCTAAAGAGGTAGAAAAATGGGTAAGGCCACAGGATTCCCATTTTCTATCCCATCCTCAATATCTGGACCCAAACACTCACTAAATCCCATGCTCACTGATAGATGATATTTTCTTTGTCTGTAGGGTGATGAGTCTGTTTCATATATTTAACCAGATTTTAAAGAACTTTTCCATGGTTCTGCTTTGGAGATGGAGTTGCTTCTTTAAAGTTCAGGCTAAAGGCTGGAGTGGACACTTGGAGCAACTATCCTCAGGTCAATCTCCTCACGTAGTACTTGTCTTCTAATAGTTTCAGCAAATCATCTTAGATCTCTCCTTATAGAGCCTAAAATAGGACTTGGAGTCTTGGACTTTTCATCCAGGCTGAAACTGACAGCCCCGATTCCCCTCCATTTAACGGTTCATTATAGGCATTTTTTTCCTGCTGACTCTGCTATTCTCGAACTCCCCACCCTCTTGATGTCTGCTTAAATGGAACGCCTCCTCAATTATTTAAGAAGGATAACATCTGGATTAAAGGATGAAAAAGTCTACTCTTGTAAGGACTCGGTAATATTTCACCAAGTCTTGGTTGTCACTCCCTCAACCTGATTTCTTTTTAAATGGTAAGACTTTGGTAGAGTTTCCTTTTAAGAAGGAAGAAAAGGGGAAGGGAAACAAACTCACCGACACATCGAATCACTCCATCAAAAGCAATTTTTCATTCAGGACATGCAGCCAACAGATTGAGGCTCAAATGCCTATTTATGAACCAAATTAAGCATCCTGATTTTTTCCCCCACAGGGAGCAAAACAAGCCAGAAAACAACTTTGTATGGGGAAACAGGTGGCTGTCTTCAGGTGTTTGGAGACCACGAGCTTCATTGTCTGGCTGATCGATATTCTATTTTGCTCATTCTCTGCAGACAATCAGATTTCTAGCTCTGTGGTTTAGCAAAATGAAGCGGGGTGTGTGTGTGTGTGTGTGGGGGGGGGGGAAGCAGAGGAATGAACAACTTAAAAGGCTTCTGCATTAAAACTCAGAAGAAGACAGGACAGGGAGAGCAACCTGAAAAGTGATGAACGACTTAGGACAGTGTTCCTCAACCTTCCTAATACCTCGACCCCTTAATACAGTTCCTCGTGTTGTGGTGACCCCCAACATTACTTTCGTTGCTATTTCCTAACTGTAATTTTGCTATTGTTATGAATTGTAATGTAAATATCTGATATGCAGGATGTATTTTCATTCACTGGACCAAATTTGGCACAAAGACCCGATATGCACAATTGGAATACTGGTGGGGTGGGGTGGGGTGGGGTGGGGGTTGATTTTGTCATTTGGGAGTAGTAGTTGCTGGGATTTATAGTTCACCTATGATCGAAGAGCATTCTGAACTCCACCAATGATGGAATTGAACCAAACTTGGCACACAGAACTCTCATGACCAATAGAAAATACTGGAAGGGTTTGGTGAGCACTGACCTTGAGTTTTGGAGTTGTCGTTCACCTACATCCAGAGAGCATTGTGGACTCAAACAATGATGGATCTGGACTAAATTTGGCATGGATACTCAATATGCCCAAATGTGAACACTGGTGGAGTTTGTGGAAAATAGACCTTGACTTTTGGGAGTTGTAGTTGCTGGGATTTATAGTTCACCTACAATCAAAGAGCATTCTGAAACCCACCAATGATAGAAGTGGGCCAAATTTCCCACACACAACCCCTCTGTCTTGAAGGGACTCGCTGGCATGAGCCACCCTCCAGCCTCTCATGCTCTCAATCACCCATGTATGCACAACACGTTTCCATTCACCGAGCATGCCTGTTCTCCCCTCCCTGCTTGGAGTCTCCAAAATTGCCCTCCCCTTGATTGAGAGGCCGGCCAATCACAGCGGAGGACGGTTTTTGGTGGGAGGATTCACCGGTCTGTTTCCCAAAAGGAAGAGAAGGACAGGTTTTCCTTGACATTAATTCTAGTTGTGTCTGACTCTGGGGGGTGGTGCTCATCTCTATTTCTGAAACAAAGAGCCGGCGTTGTCCGTAGACATCTCCAAGGTCATGTGGCTGGCATGACTGCATGGAGCACTGGTACCTTCCCACAGAAGCAATACCTATTGAGCTACTCGCATTTGCATGTTGTTGAACTGCTAGGTTTGCAGAAGCTGGGGCTAACAGCAGGAGCTCACCCCACTCCCCAGATTCAAACAGCCAACCTTTTGGTCAGCAAATTCGGTAGCTCAGCGGTTTAATCCGCTGCGCCACCAGGGACTCCCATCTAAGGAAACCCTATGAAATTAATGAGATCACCATTGGTTGAATGACAATCAGCACACACATGCACCAATACTTTTACACCGCTTTAGAAGTGGAAGTAACTAGAAGCCTTTGATAAAGCAGAAAGTGAAGAATTGTTTGAATCTCTGATTTTTGTTTTAAAAAGGTTATATTCTAATAATCGACAGACTAGATCTCCATTGCTCTACATGGCTTTCAGGGGTTGAAAGTGGGATCCATGGACCATACTGTCAATAGTGCATGATATATGGTGAATATGTAGCATAGATGAATATGTGACAATTTCAGATCTCTAATGGATGAAGCTTGTGAATCTGTAATTGCAGTGCGGCGCACTGGTCATATTTTGTTAGCACTCCAAGTGACATTTATAAATGCCAGTTTGATCTGAGAAACGTTAGTTGAAAAGGACAATGCAAACCGTTCCAATAAATACATCAAGAATCAACACACAAATATCAGATGAATGCATTATAATAAAAGTCTCTAACTCATTACAGAAGGACCCATATATTCATGGAACTGGTATCTGCAGTTTCATTTATATATGCCCAGAGAATCCATTGAAATCCACAAGCATGTAGACAATTTCAAAAGGAGGAAACCATGAAAATGTACAAAATCTGGCAGCCAGTATTTTAAAAAGCTCTAAAAGCAGAACAATAAACAAAGAGCAACACTCAAAAATCAGGGGAATTCCAAACAAGTCCTCACTACCTCTGAGGATGCTTGCCATAGATGCAGGCGAAACGCCAGGAGAGAATGTCTCTAGAACATGACCATATAGCCCGAAAAAAACTACAATAACCCAGTGATTCCGGCCATGAAAGCCTTCGACAATACATTCCAAACAAGAATCAATCAGCTAACGCCTCCAATCAAAGGATCCCCCAGGCAGCAATCAGCCAGACTTTGAAGCTGCATGGCCATCAAATGCTAATCAAAGTGGCCAACTGCATCATTCACACTTGCCTCAAGCAGACAAGAGTTCTTTCTCCCACCCTGGACACTCCACAGATGCATAAACCTAGTTTCCAACAGACCTCTCAACTCCTGAGGATGTCTGCCATAGATGCAGGCAAAATGTCAGGAGAGAATGCTTCTGGAACATGGCCATACAGCCTGGAAAACTCAAAACAACTGAGTTATTCTATCCATGAAAGCCTTTGACAACACATTGTTCAGAGGTCCTTCATTTCAGTAGGGTTGGCTATTATCTACAGCAGTAGTTCTCAACCTGGGGTCCCCAGATGTTTTTGGCCTTCAACTCCCAGAAATCCTAACAACTGGTAAACAGACTGGGGTTTCTGGGAGTTGTAGGCCAAAACACCTGGGCACCCACAGGTTGAGAACTTTGTAGATCTCCATAAAGTTTGGGAATGCATCTCCCATGGATAGTGAATGGGTAGAAGCTCCCCCTCAACCCCCCCTACAAAAAGGTCCCCTTACTTAGCCTTCTATGACTAGGACAGCATCAAAAAATGTTCCCATGCCACATGACACCATTGGGAATTGGTTTCATTCGCCCCACCGTCTTCCCAGAGATAGTAGTCTCTCTAGAGAAGACTTTTCCTCATGTTTGAATATGCATTACTTATAAGAAAGGGTATTGTGTCCTACCGATGCATAGTGGAGGAGGATAATTCCATCGCCGGACAGTCCCTGGCATGCAGGAAATGTGAGAACGCCCCTGAAGCAAAGAAGAAAAATAGGCTGTTAGAAGGTGGAAATATAGACTTCTTTATCTGTTGACCTTTCGCCCAATATAGGACTTACAGCAGATAAGCCTTTGAGAGTGACAGAATGGAGAGGAAACCTTCACCCAAAGATTATAAGATGTAGGAAGGCTTTTATGGAGTGATATGGTCTTCCAAACTGTCTGGACCTAGGGTGTATAGGGCTTTATAGATCATAACCAGCACTTGGGATGGTGCTTAGAAATGCACTGGTAGTCAGTGAAATGATTATATACTTTCTATAATCAGATCTGCCAAAGTTTCAAAACAGTTTCCCAGGCAGACTTAAATAGAATGTGTATTATTATTATTATTGTTATTGTTATTGTTATTGTTATTGTTATTAATTATTTACAGTATTTATATACCACTTTTCTCACCCCTAGGGGGACTCAAAGCGGTTTACACATAGATAATGGCAAAAATTCAATGCCTTACAACTACAATAGTAAAATCACACTATAAACATAAAACATATTAAAAATGTGTAATCTATACATAAGCAGCATCCAAAGCCTCAGTGCAGTTTGTTAACACAGTGTGGTGCTGAAGATAATAATAATAGGCGATGAAGATGATGATGATGGTAAGACTCTGGCACAAGCCAGTAAAAGGGGTCCCAGTGGTGATTGGCACACTGGGTGCAGTGCCTAAAGACCTTGGCCTGCACTTAAACACAATCAGCACTGACAAAATTCCCATCTGTCAGCTGCCCTGCTGGGATTTGCACGCATTATTTGCCGATACATCACACAATCCTAGACACTTGGGAAGTGTCCAACGTATGATCCAATACAACAACCAGTATAGTGATCTTGTTTGCTGTGTACTAATCTTGTTGTGTTTCTAACAGTAATAATAATAATAATAATAATAATAATAATAATAATCACATCCTCAGCTGCTGCAAGAAGATCGTGCAGACAGACTACAAGCAGAGGCATAATACCATTGCTCAGATGATTCATTGGAACTTGTGCCACAAATACCATCTGCCTGTGACAAAGAACTGGTAGGATCACAAGCCGGAAAAAGTTACAGAGAATGAACACGCAAAACTCCTCTGGGACTTCCGAATTCAGTCAGACAGAGTTCTAGAGCACAATACTCCAGACCTCACAATTGTGTTAAAAAACAAAGTATGGATTGTCGATGTCGCAATCCCAGGTGACAGCAGGATTGCAGAGAAACAACTGGAAAAGCTGACATGATATGAGGATTTAAAAATCGAACTGCAAAGACTCTAGCACAAACCAGTAAAGATGGTCCCAGTGGTGATCGGCACACTGGGTGCAGTGCCTAAAGACCTTGGCCTGCACTTAAGCACAATCGGCGCTGACAAGATTACCATCTGCCAGTTGCAGAAGGCCACTTTACTGGGACCTGCACACATTATTTGCTGATACATCACACAGTCCTAGACACTTGGGAAGTGTCCGACGTGGGATCCAATACAACAGCCAGCAGAGAGTGTGCTGTGGACTCATCTTGTTATGTTTCTAACAACAACAACAACAACAACAACAACAACGGAACTTATGTCACAGGTTCCACCTGCCAGTAGTAAATACTGGTGGGATCATAAACCTGCAAAGGTAGTGGAAAATGAACACACACAAAATACTGTGGGACTTTCAAATCCAGACTGACAAAGTTTTGGAACGCAATACACCAGACATCACGATTGTGAAAAAGAAAAAGGTTTGGATTATTGATGTCGCCATACCAGGCGACAGCCGCATTGGGGAAAAACAACTGGAAAAACTCAGCCGTTAACAGATCTTCAAAATCGAACTGCAAAGGCTCTGGCATAAACCAGTACAGGTGGTCTCAGTGGTCATCAGCACACTGGGTGCCGTGCCAAAAGATCTCAGCCGGCATTTGGAAACAATAAACATAAACAATAAACAAAATCATGATCTGTCAACTGCAAAAGGCCACCTTACTTTGATCTGCGCGCATCATTCAAAAATACATCACACTGTCCTAGACGCTTGGGAAGTGTTCAACTTGTGATTTTGTGGTACAAAATCCAGCATATAGATCTCGTTTGCTGTGACATACTGTGTTTTTGTGTCAGAATAATAATAATAATAATAATAATAATAATAATAATAATAATAATAATAAATTTGTTATCCACCCTATCTCCCTTGGGGGACTCAGGTTGGTTTCCAGAAAAAAAAAAAAAGGCAAATATTCAATGCCAAAGAGAAACACAAGTATAATTGCACAAGGATGGGAATGGAAAGTACCTGGAGTGCGTATCCTGGCTCACACTGAAAGGAGACCACATCGTTCACCAGGTATCTCTCCCCAATCTTCAGGCCATTGCTAGGAATGGTGGGCTCTGGGCAGCTGGAGAGGCCCACGGCTGTGAGAAAGAAAGATAGACGAAAAGAATAGGTACAGGGCTGACCTGAGATATTCTACTGCTGGACAATGGGAAAGAGGATGTCTTGCTTCCATTCCATGCACAGAATCTTGTTTCGATTCCATATACAGAATGGCAACAGAGGATTTCAATCAATCAATCAAACAAACAAACAAACAAACTTTATTATGGTCCAAAGACCCAATTTGCTAAACAGTAAAAGGTGAACAGCTGCCAACAGCTTTATAAACTGACTAGCTGTCCCCTGCCACGCGTTGCTGTGGCCCAGTCTGTTGATCTGGAAAATAAAGTAATGAGAAAGTGTTGGTTTCTAATATATGTATTTTCTTTATGCTTATGGGTAAACAGTATTTCTTGCTGTTTCTTTGCCAGTGTTGATGTGGAGATTGTCTGGTTTGCCTACTCTGGAACATGCAACATATCATTGTCCTTCTTTAGGGGTCCCTTTCAAATCTATGATACTGCATCTGTCATATACATATATGTGTGTGTGAATGGCTGGATGGCCCTTTGTCAGGAGGGCTTTGATTATGTTTTCTTGCCCTGGTGAAGGGAGTTGGACTGGATGGCCTTAAGGCAGCATTTCTCAACCTGGGGTTTGGGACCCCGGGGGGGGGGGGGGTTGGGAGGGGGTGTCAGAAGGGTCACCAAAGACCACCAGAAAACACAGTATTTTTTGGTCATGTGGGTTCTGTGTGGGAAGTTTGCCCCAATTCTGTCATTGGTGGGTTCAGAATGCTTGCTAGGACTTGAACCCAACGTGGCACACAGAACTCCCCTGACCAACAGAAAATACTGGAAGGGTTTGGTGGGCATTGACCTTGAGTTTTGGAGTTGTAGTTCACCTATATCCGGAGAGCACTGTGGACTCAAACAATGATGGATCTGGACCAAACTTGGCATGAATACTCAATATGCCCAAATGTGAACACTGGTGGTGTTTGGGGGAAATAGAATCTTGACATTTGGAGTTGTAGTAGTTGGGATTTATAGTTCACCTACAATCAAAGAGCATTCTGAGCCCCACCAATGATAGAATTGGGCCAAACCTCTCACATAGAACCCCCATGTGGGCCACAGCAACGTGTGGCAGGGGATGGCTAAGGTAAAGGTAAAGGTAGTCCCCTGACATTAAGTCCAGTCATGTCTGACTCTGGGGTGTGGTGCTCATCTCCATTTCTAAGCTGAAGAGCCAGCACTGTCCGTAGACACCTCCAAGTTCATGTGGCCGGCATGACTGCATGGAGCGCCGTTACCTTCCCGCCGGAGCGGTACCTATTGATCTACTCACATTTGCATGTTTTCGAACTGCTAGGTTGGCAGAAGCTAGGGCTGACAGAGGAAGCTCACGTCACTCCCCGGGATCAAACCTGTGACCTTTCGATCAAGAAGCTCAGCAGCTCAGTGCTTTAACCCACTGCGCCACCGGGGGCTCCAGGGGATGGCTAGTGTAATATAAATATATAATTATAATATCATATTATTATTAGTATTATATTGCATTACACTATAATATTATATTGCTTTACATTATAATATAATTTTCCCAATGGAAAAGGACTTGGAGTTGCACTTGGTGGCAGTTTAATACTTTGGAGGAACAGGGCAAGTCACGTAGCCCTTCAACTTTTCCCCTAATATTGCTGCCTTTTATCCCCATCTGGCCCCTGCTATCTGAGGCAGCTGCCTCTCTCTGCTTAATGATAGGAAGACCAGCCCTAAATCGATGCATGAGTTTGTTGGAGTGTGTAGACTGGGAATTGTGAAGAATGGTCACACAATTCTTCCCAATGATTGCTTCAACATGCCGAGGCAGTCTCTTGAGAAATCATTGACTTCCATGAGAGTTCTCGCCTTCAGCACAGCAACAAAGGGAGGAGTGCTTGGCTTTTCAATGAGGTTTCCTTAATTTGCACAGAAAATACCTCTGCAGAAACCTTGTGCCTCTTCCCTTTGTGAAGCAAAGCACACCCACATGCACAGCAGGCACTGAAGGACAGGCTAATTGGTTTAAGAGGGAACTTAGACAAGGCCAATTTGTTGGAAAGACTGATGGTTTCGGCTGTAGATTGCACAAGAAGGGCAGTGACCACCATTTCCCACAACTGGCACCAAAATGTCTTCAAAAAGCAGAGACAAAAATCTGTGGATGTTAAAGTCTCATTATATACAACGGTAAAATAAAATAATAGAATCATAGAGTTGGAAGAGACCTTATGGGCCATCCAGTCCAACCCCCTGCCAAGAAGCAGGAATATTGCATTCAAAGCACCCCCGACAGATGGCCATCCAGCCTCTGTTTAAAAGCTCCCAAAGAAGAAGCCTCCACCACACTCCGGGGCAGAGAGTTCCACTGCTGAACGGCTTTCACAGTCAGGAAGTTCTTCCTCATGTTCAGATGGAATCTCCATTCTTGTAGTTTGAAGCCATTGTTCCACATCCTAGTCTCCAGGGAAGCAGAAAACAAGCTTGCTTTCTCCTCCTTGTGACTTCCTCTCACATATTTATACATGGCTACCATATCTCCTCTCAGCCTTCTCTTCTTCAGGCTAAACATGCCCAGCTCCTTAAGCCGCTCTTCATAGGGCTTGTTCTCCAGACCCTTGATCATTTTAGTCGCCCTCCTCTGGACACATTCCAGCTTGTCAATATCTCTCTTGAATTGTGGTGCCCAGAATTGGACACAATATTCCAGGTGTGGTCTAATCAAAGCAGAATAGAGGGGTAGCATTACTTCCCTAGATCTAGACACTATGCTCCTATTGATGCAGGCCAAAATCCCATTGGCTTTTTTTGCCGCCACATCACATTGTTGGCTCATGTTTAACTTGTTGCCCATGAGGACTCCAAGATCTTTTTCACACGTACTGCTCTTGAGCCAGTCATTGTCCCCCATTTTGTATCTTTACATTTCGTTTTTTTCTGCCTAAGTGGAGTATCTTGCATTTGTCACTGTTGAACTTCATTTTGTTAGTTTTGGCCCATCTCTCTATTATCTATTTATTTATTTATTTACAGTTCTTATATTCCGCCCTTCTCACCCCGCAGGGGACTCAGGGCGGATTACAGTCAACACATATATGGCAACCATTCAATGCCAGTTTTGACAAACAACATTTAACACACAAATACACCAAGGCTATTTAACTTTTTTCTGGCCGCCAGGGGAGCTGCTGCTTTTCATCGTCCATCAGCGACACCGATGAAGTTCTTCCGCATTTCACATTCCCTGGAGTCTTTTTTCTTTATGGCCTCATAAATTAGTTAAATTTAGCCTCCTACACAAGGTGGTGCCTTATTTTCCTACTTGACAGATGCAACTGTCTTTCGGGTTGCAAAGGTCGACAACGGGCTACACAATGGCTGGACACCCACTCCAGCCCGGGCTGGCTTCGAACTCATGACCTTTTGGTCAGAGTGATCTTAATGCAGCTGCGCCACAATCCCGGTGCTCTACTCTGTCAAGATCATTTTGAATTCTGCTCCTGTATTTAACAATACTATTTAAATACTATTTAACAAAGTATTTAACAATATTTTCAAGATGCAGATGGTTGAATCAGTAGGTGCAGAATCTGTAGATATGGAGGCTCGACCATACACTAGTCAAGACTAGCAATAGGATTTAGGGTTATCTGGAATGGTTGCAGTTGCAGAAACCAATGCCCCCTACCCCTAAAAGTACAACTTGATGGGAAAGGAGACTGCCATGTGTAGGATAGCAACTGATCACAAAATGCTCTTCCTCTATTTGCCTCCACATCTTCCTCTGTTTTTCTCCCTGCATTGCAGACTTCTTGGGGCAAGAAGCTTTATTTAGGCGATCCCTCATAGCCTGAGAATGATGGTCCTCCAAGTGTAGTGTCTTGGCGGTGGGTCTGTAGGAGACTGTGGAGCCCTATTCTTGATCCGCATGTTCTTCCACTGTGAGGACATCGGTTTCCAGGTGGAAGGCAGTCCCGGTCCTTCCTCTTGGCACATTTCTCCCTTTTGCCCTCCAATCATGCATCTTTAATTTCTGCAGCACTGCTGGTCACAGCTGACCTCCAGTTAGAGTGCTCAAGGGTCATGGCTTCCCAGTTCTTGGCATCTATATGATAGTTTTTAAGGTTGGCTTTAAGCCCTCCTTTAAATCTCTTTCCCTGTCACCAACATTACATTTCCCGTTCTTGAGTTGAGAGTATAGTAAATGCTTTGGGAGACAATGATCGGGCATTCGGACAACATGGCCAGTCCAAGCAGTTGATGGTGTAGGAGCATTGCTGCAATGCTGGTGGTCTTTGCTTCTTCCAGCATGCTGACATTTGTCCACCTGTCTTCCCAAGAGATTTGTAGGATTTTTCAGAGGCAACGCTGATAGAATTGTTCCAGGAGTTGAGTGTGATGTCTGTAGGCAGTCCATGTTTCACAGGCATATAGCAGGGTTGGGAGGACACTAACCTTACAAACAAGCACCTTGGTCTCCCTACAGATGTCCCAGTCCTCAAACACTCTCTACTTCATTCAGAAAAATGCTGCACTTACAGAGCTCAGGCGGTGTTGTATTTCAGTGCCAATGTTGACTTTTACGGAGAGGTGGCTGCCAAGGGAGCAGAAATGGTCAACATTTTCTAATGTTACACCATTAAGCTGTATTTCTGGCATTGCATATAGATTGGCCAACCAGTCAACTGCAATGTCCCCAATCAAAAAGCTTTTGTGGATGTTCTTCATATCCGGAAAGTCCAAAAAACTCCAAACAGGGGCAGCAAGAACACAAGAGTAATGAGTGTCTTTCTCACTCAACTCTCCAGAAGAAGAAAGAGGATGGAAGTGCTGATTGGAGCATCAATGATGGATCCATCTAGCCAAAGGCCTGGAGCAAAGGTGCAGATCTTATCTTTCAGGCAGCTGATTCTCAGTGAATGTCCTTTTCTTTCAGCTAAGAAATGGATGTTCTGAAAAATGTCCAGCTGAGCGGTTTTCTCCTCCGGCTTGCCATTGAGACAGCCAGACACCTATCCATCTATACATGGTAGCTACATTTTGAAAGGAAATTGCTTTCATCATGGCATTTCTTGGGACTTTTTATGGCCATATTTGCACAAGTGCATGCAAACCATATTTTTTGTCTTTAATATTGTATTTTGAAATGATTTTAGAATGAATGGTGTGTTCATATCCTCAGCTTGTTTAACTGCCATAGTATTCCTTAAGGTTGGTCGTAATGGCAAGAGCTGCTCATACTCGAAGAGTTGCTTAAAATTTACATATATGGAGGGTTGCATGATTCCCACTCCTTTCTTAAACAATCACTTCACACATTGAAGCTAAATTACACTATCTCCATCTTACATTTGCACCCCCAACAAAGACCACATGGAGCAGAATTGTCCTTACTTTTATACTCCAGATGAAATCCTGCAGCCGAGACACTGATGTCGGAGCAGAAGTGCAAATAGAGCTGGTTGGAGGTGCTGTTCAATAATGCAGGGACCGTTGTTCCTAAAAGAGGAAGAAAAACCACACATAGAAGCAGAAGAGATGTAACCAGAGTGCATTTTTCTGTTATGTGGCCCAAACCACATTGGAATCCTTTATTCAGATCTTTTAATTTTCTGTTTGGGGTTGGAATACATTTTGGGGGACCATTTCCCATCTCTCATGCATAAAAGAAGGAGGAATATCTAACTAGGGTTTGTACTTTGAAGTACATCTTGAGGAAGTTACTTTTTTGAGGGAGGGTGTATAGATTAGAAAGCTCCCAGGTTTGGCTTGGAGAATCTACACCAGGGGTCTTCAAATTAAGGCCCGTGGGCCAGATACGGCCCACCAAGGTAATTTACCTGGCCCTCACTCAGGGTCAACCTAAGTCTGAAACAACTTGAAAGCATACAACATCAACAACAATCCTACCTAATCAGCCAAAAGCGGGCCCACACTTCCCACTGAAATACTAATAAGTTTATATTTGTTAAAATTGTTCTTCATTTTAATTATTGTCTTGCTTTTAAGTGTTTTTTGCACTACAAATAAGATACGTGCAATGTGCATAGAAATTCATTCATTTTTTTTCAAATTATAATCTGACCCTCCAACAGTTTGAGGGACTGTGACCTGGCCCTCTGTTTAAAAAGTTTGAAGACCCCTGATCTACATTTTCAGATGAAAACTCCCAGGTATAGTTTGGAAACATCTGCCATTTGGACTTCAACTCCCAATATCCTCAACCAACTGCACTGACTGATGATGCTGGGAGTTGTAGTCCAGAAAGTAGCTTTTCCAAAGCATTCTCGGGGCTGTTGTTGAAACCATGGTGATACCTGGAGAAACCCAACGGTACATTATGGAGTAAAAATACAGGACCTGCTCTGTTTCAGTTTCACTGATCTACTCCAAATATACCAAAGAAAAGCTGGATTTTGAAGGGCATGCATTTTTTTTGCTATTTTTGCTAGTGTTTTTGGGGAAAGGAAAACCTGACATCTGTTACCTAAAAGCCTATTATCTGAAGGAGGCATCTGCATATCTGAGCAGACGGCCCTTTGCATGACCAGGCAGCTTTCTTTTTGATCCAACTCCAATGAGGTTGGCAGAGGAGTCTCCAAAGATGTGCTTTTTCAAAGCAGAGTTGTATGTTTCTCTCTCTCTCTCATTCCACTAAGCCTTATTCTGTCAGGTGAAGAGACTAAGAGAAAAATGAAGAAATGAGAAAGGTATGGAAAGGCACAGGAGAGTTGTTGGGGAACTTCGTTCTGATGGCTTTGTCCTCTCTTTGCTGTCTGAATGGGGATGCTGAAAGAGAGCTGAAATGAAATTCAAATCCAGGAGCCAAGGCAGCTTTAGAAACAAAAGGCACCACTCTTTAAGACGGTGACCCACAAAGCTTTGGCTGAATTTCATAAACAGGAATAGATCTCAGAGAAGAGAAGAGACGCAAGGACCTTCTCACACTCCAGCTATCTCTCCCAGTCTCCAGCTTCTACATCTCTCTTTGATAGACACTCTACAATTGTTTCATTGGGTTTTGAGGCGTGCCAATTGCTTGCTCAATTTCTTTCTCCACTTTGTGGGAACACAATTCTGTACTTAACAAAAACATGCCAACAAATCGATTCCACTACTGAAGATTATTGTTTTCTCGAGTTCTCTCTCTTTCACACACACGGGTGGATTTGTCCCATTCTATTTCACTTAGCGTGTCACTTTTCAGTTCATTCCATCTCCAGAGCAAATTGCATCCCTCCCCCACCCTGGATAAAAAACATAGATTTTTATGCACTGAAAAAACAATGTTTTATATACAATTTAAATGTCGCACTCTAGGCATTTTAAACCTTGCAAATGGAAGCAGATGAAAGTAAGTTTTCAAGAAACAGAGAATTCTTTTATTTTAAAAATGTGTGCATTCTAGGAGGAATAACTACCTGTTATTTTCTCTGAACTCAGTGCAAATTTTGGAAATGTACAGATGCTGGGGGGAATTTTCCAGGCTTGCTTTTGTTCTGAAGAGTATGTTTTGGATTGGGGTTCATTCCCTCCCTCCCCTTACCTTGTTTATCCAAAAATCAGACATTCCCTGAAAATAAGACCTAGTAGAGGTTTTGCTGAATTGCTAAATATAAGGCCTCCCCTGAAAGTAAACCTAGCAAAGTTTTTGCTTGGAAGCATGCTCCCCGCTGGTGGCCGGAAGCTGCAATACCATCCCTGCTGTACAAGTGGTCCAGGAACTACTGTGGGATATTGTTACTGTTTCCAGATAGTGTGTGGGAGCAGGGGCGGCTCAACCATTATGCAAAGTAAGTATTTGCAGTATAGTTGATTTTGCCCAGGGGCGATCTTGAGATGCTCTTGGGGGAAAATACACCTTGACATATGCGAGTTGTAGTTACTGGGATGTATAGTTCACCTACAATCAAAGAGCATTCTGAACTCCACCAATGATGGAATTGAACCAAATATGGCACATAGAAATTCCATGACGAACAGAAAATATATATCAGTGATTGGTTGGGGGGGGGGGGGCGGCAATATACTGTTTGCTTACCATTGAAAATTACCTAGGGCCGCCTCTGTGTGGGAGCCAGGTACTTTACAGCCCTTATTTTTGTGGCCCTGTGCGTATATTTATTAGATTTTGGCACTGTTGTACTTTCCAAATCAAAGCTGCCTCAATTTTGTTATATGCAGAGCTTGTATCTATTCCTTAGCTTCACTACTTACCTGAGAAGCTGCCCAGCATGGTTGCAGTGTTGTCCCCACCATCAAACACTTCTAGCGAATCCCAGTTCTGTTCTGTGACAAAACTAATCACTTGAATCTGGGAAGGAGAAAGGGAAAACTGAAACCACAATAACAATGTTCAGAATAATAATAATACCATAAATTTTCCAAAACTAAAATCTCCAGAGATTCTTTCCCCATTGATTTTCCTGCTCAGGAATCCTTGGACACCTGCGTTCACTAGGCACTGGTGCCTCTGTATTCCCTGGAAGCCAATATTTCATGGGAAGCAAACAAATCACTGGAAGCACACTATCCGTTCAGAACACAGTGGCAGAGATCCTACATTGCTTCACTAGAGTGTAAATACTGGCTGCATTTAGCAGCTATTTTCAGCTGTCTGGGGCTGATTTTGAACCAAAGCAAGTTGTGAAAAGGAATTTTAGATTTTTGGAAAAGTCCTGAGAGATTGTGGAGTTTTTAGGCTGTAAAATGGGCCACAAGGGCTGCAGGTGTGTTGTGGACCACCATTTGCTTTATGGCTCACTTTACTAGGACCCTGTTACATCAGACCCATTCTTCCATTCATAGCATTGATTTTCCCAGCAGACAAAACACAAATTGCCAGAATCCTTTTCAGCAGTCACAATACTTCCAGCTGGACTTAGGATACCGTAATTGCTTGGAGTTTATGGCTTTGTATGTACAATTGTCTGTCTAGTTGTGTATAAACTGCATTGAATGTTTGCCTCATATGTATGTTCTGTGATCCGCACTGAGTTCTCTTCAGGGTGAGAAGGGCAGAATATAAATACTGTCAATAAATAAATATATAAATAAGGTCATGGAAGACAAAATTGGATTCCCAAATCTTACAGCCCCTGGCAGTGTCCAACTAAGGTTATCAGATGCAACATAAATCAGGGAGTTAGGATACCACGGCTATGGCATTCTTACAGTTTTAGGGTGCATTGAGACCACTGATTGTAGCCAGACCCCAAAGAGAAAATAATAATAATAATAATAATAAGAAGAAGAAGAAGAAGAAGAAGAAGGAAAATGAACATGCAAAAATACTGTGGGACTTTCGAATCCAGACTGACAAAGTTTTGGAACACAATACACCAGACATCACGATTGTGAAAAGAAAAAAGTCTGGATTATTGACATACCAGGTGACAGTCACATTGAGGAAAAACAACAGGAAAAACTCAGCCATTATCAGGACCTCAAAATCAAACTGCAAAGGCTCTGGCATAAACCAGTACAGGTGGTCCCAGTGGTCATTGGCACACTGGGTGCCGTGCCAAAAGATCTCAGCTGGCATTTGGAAACAATAAACATTGACAAAATCACAATCTGTCAACTGCAAAAGGCCACCTTACTTGGATCTGTGCCCATCATTCGAAAATACATCACACAGTCCTAGACACTTGGGAAATGTTTGACTTGTGATTTTGTGATATGAAATCCAGCATATACATCTTGTTTGCTGTCTCATACTGTGTTTTTGTGTCAGTAAAATAGTAATAATAATCTTTATTTTTAAACCACCATATCACCCCTGAGGGATTCATACAAACGCAAATATTCAATGCCTGGCATATATCAAAACATTCCCATTTTTTATTGTTGTTCTTTATTTGCTGTTATGCTTTCCAGACAAGAAACAATCACGGCCAGCTAATCACCTCCCAACAAAGGTTTCCCCTGGGCAGTAAGAAGCCAGAACTTGAAACTGCTAGGCCATTAAATGCTAATCAAGGTGGCCAATTGAAACATTCACACTTGCCTCAAACAGACAATGCTAGAAATTTGGAGGCTGATGAAAAAAAATTTGGTTGAATTATTATTTGGGGAATTGACCTTATTTTGTTCCTTCTTAGTAGCCATGTCTTACACTCTGCCTCAACCCACCTTTTTGAATATATTGAAATTTCATTTCAGTGGGGCAGCATTCAGCATTCCCCACTCCAGCATCTGAAAGTGGCACAAGCCAGAAATGCAAACCATTCTGTGCTGGTACAGTTGTACCAGGAGCTCCAACTATATTTTCTTTCTGTTATCTGTTTACAGTTATAGGGCAGGCCTCCTGTCCATCATAATTAAGCTTTGGTTCCGACCCTTGTTCAGGGCTCTGGGAGGGAAAGGAGCCATTTTTTGGTCAGTCTCACATAAGGAAGCTAGACTATAGGACGTAGTCCAGCTCGTCCCTTAGAAAAGCTTCTTTTCTCAAGAGCATCCAGGGAAAAGGAACATCCGGGGAAAGAGAAACAGAAATTCCAGGGAAAAGGTTCCAAGGCTCTGGCTGAGAGCTCACAGCCTCTCAGCCTCACAGCATCAGAGGGAACATCCCTGAAGTTCTCAAAGAATTCTCTGAGGGAGGACACCACTACAGATCCACGGAACTCCATCTGAAATATCTACAAGCCTCGGCTGGTAGGTCTACTCGATACCCAGACGCATTTGGACTCGGTAGTAGGACCCACACTGATGAGGCGTAGATAGTAAACAGCCTGGGAGAGGTTAAATGGGGTTTTTTTTCTACAGAGAAAGTACAGTTAATCTAAGTCAGGTACCGGTCCACTGAGGACTAGACTAAGAAATCCTTGAAGTGTTGTTTGAGCCATTGAAGATTTGTTGTTTGTTCCATAATAAAGACTTTGTTGTATCATTAAAGACTCTAAAGACCATTACTTAAGAAAAATCCCAGAGAACCTCTCTTTGAGGTGCCCCTGGCTTCCCGCTGGGCTTAAAGTATACGTCCTATAGAAAAGTACTGCTATTACAGGCCCAGCATGCGACAGAACACATTCTGTCCTGATGATTGTACTAATTGGCCTTTGGCTGTACCCATTGCTATCTCTTGCCTGGACACTTTACGGGAAAAGACCTGGATGACAAAATCCATTCTGCAGCAGCGCTAAACTTCTCTTCCACTGTTGAAGGCCACAGAAGGAAAAAGACCTGTCAGAGGAGTGATCATAAGCCATTGTATCTGGCACTTGAACTTGTTTCCTTCCCCGCTTTGCTCAGACTAACAACTTCGCGGGAACCTTTAAAGAAAAAAAATCCTTTGGAGTCCGTCTCTCCGAAATGCTAATGACCCTTGTGGAAAAGGAGCCTTTACCAACTTCTCGAGCCTATCACTAATTATCCTCTTAGTAATGATTTTCCGAAACATCGAAGGAAGAGTTGGGTTTCACTGTCTCTCCTACTCCTCCATTTCCCAGCTCCCCCCTTTTTGGAAAGGCATAAACACTCTCTGGTTCTAATTCTACGCTGATGTGCAGGATTTCAGGAGGGATCAGCATGTATTTACTGCCAGGGATATAAATTAATTCGCCCAGGGAAGAGCAGCCTCTGAAATGAATAATTCATACTAGAAGTGCAAGAGGGTGCTCTGGTTACATAAAATCCTCCTCGATCTGACACAGCTTCTGTTCCGATGCAAAGAAAGCCTTTGTTCCCACTGCCTCCTCTGATTTATCCATGTTTAACCTTCACCGGTGCTACAAAATGGTAAATGGGAGGATGTCTAGCGGCATGGATAACCCTGGCACTTGGGCTTGCATCCAGACCTCCACTGCAATGTAAGGTTAGCCACTGAGCATGTAAAGGGATGCATCTGTACACTGTAGAATTAATAGAGTTTGATGCCACTTAAACTGCCATGTCTCAATGCTATGGAATCAACAGAAGCATAGTTTTCAAAGAACTTCAGTCTCTTTTTCCACAGAGCGCTGGTGTTTCACCAAACTACAAATCTCAGATTTGATTGCATGGAATTATGGTTGTTAAAATGGTGTCAAGCATTAATTTGACATTTTAGATGCATCCAAACTGGGGTTTGCTGTCTTCAGATATGTCTATGTTTGACCCATGTTGTATTGCCTGATATTTTATATGCTTAATAATAATAATAATAATAATAATAATAATAATAATAATAATAATTAAGGCCAAGATTGAAAAAAATGCAGACTGTGCAAGGAAGCAGATGAAACCATGGATCATCTCCTCAGCTGTTGCAAGAAAATCGCACAGATGGACTACAAATAGAGACACGACTCTGTAGCCCAAATGATTTACTGGAACTTATGTCACAAGTACCACCTACCAAAAGGAAAGAATTGGTGAGATAATAAACCTGCAAAGGTAGTGGAAAATGAACACGCAAAAATACTGTGGGACTTTTGAATCCAGACTGACGAAGTTTTGGAACACAATACACCAGGCATCATGATTGTGGAAAAGAAAAAAGTTTGGATTATTGATGTCGCCATTCCAGGTGACAGTCGCATTGAGGAAAAACAACAGGAAACTCAGCCGTTATCAGGATCTCAAAATCAAACTGCAAAGGCTCTGGCATAAACCAGTACAGGTGGTCCCAGTGGTAATTGGCACACTGGGTGCCGTGCCCAAAAAACTCAGCCGGCATTTGGAACATATTATTATTATTATTATTATTATTATTATTATTATTATTATTATTATGGGTACTAATAATTATGCCCCATCACTTCCTGTTGTTAGTTTGAGAGGGACTACCATGGAAAAAGGGGGCATTTGGGCTTGCTTTGGGTGGAGTGTAAAGTCCATTGGGATCTTAGGGTGAGAATTGGACCCACACAATTGCCCATCCCTGACTTAGGCTGATTGATGTGTCAGGGAAAGAAAGAGGTTGGCATTGTTTTGTGCCTTCAAGCCATTTCCAACTCTTGGCAACCCTAAGGTGAACCTATCTCGTTTCATTCTCTGAGATCAGTGTGTGACTTGCTTAAGGTCACCCCAGGGGTCTCCATAGCTAAGTGAGGAACCGAACTCGGGTCTCCAGAGTTATAGTCCAATGTTCAAACCATGTTGGCTCTTGAAAGACAGAGGTCAAAGTTGTACTTTCATTCCATAAATGCGGTTGAGGGGTCTCCATGCATACAAAACAAGACTTCAAACGCATGCCGCCCCTCCTCCTAGGATAGCCTGAACTGACAATTTACTCTCTCATGCAATCAAGATTTTTTACTCTTGAGTTCTTTCTGCTGAAAAGCATTTGGGAACATTCTTATCAGAAACAAACCTAAGCGAACGGGCAGACCG